CTTCACCTACCAAGCATAGCATCTGTCTCTGCACACATAGCATAATAAAATGCTCTAATGCTTCTCACTTCTTGCTTTGTAAACTCTCCTGTACAGTTTTTGGTGTAAGATGAATAATAGTCTACTGGATGCATCTCTGAAAGTGAAGACCATGTGGGAATTTTAATAGCTTCATATTTTACCTAAAAATAAAGGGGAAAATAACATTACAAACTGAATTAAACAATTTAAAGGGAAAAAAAGAAAGGTTTAATTTAAAACTTTTTAGTATAATTTGTCAGTTCTCAGTCTGTAGTCTTTGAGATATCAGCAGCTTATCTGTTACATAGTGCTGCTATTTCCTCCATACTTTCACAGGTATTGAGTCAATTAGTTATAAAAGAGCGATAAAAATCAGCTACTAATGAAGGCCATTTTTTTTTATTTCTACAGATTTTAAGCCATTTAGTTATAAAGAAGCAGCTGATACATTACATATAATGCTAGATCTGTATATTCTGCTAGTTCTGCACACATGGACAGTCAACAGAAAAAAGACTTCTTTTTCAGAAGATCTCTGACAATATTAATGACAAACTGGCTATATAATCTAAATGTGTTTCTAGCTATTGAAGTCCAAATTTACTGATTCAGTATTAACAAACCTTTTCATTACAGAAAAACAAAATAAACAAAATTACTTTACTTCATCAGAAGTCCAACATCTTATCCAAGTACTACTTACTGTGTACTGAAATATTAGAACTGGACCTGACCTGAAAAATTACAAGGAATAAAACACATTTCACAATAAAGTTACACACGAATTTAGATTTAACTTTCACCTGCACATACCTTTTCAAGCCAATATGGAGACGTTAAAAATGTAGAGGATCCAAAATTTTCTCCGGCGTAAGGTGACGGATATGGATGTGGCAAATTTAGCCCCAAGTAAAGAGCAAATGGTTGGGTGAGGTTAATGGCTTCTTTCTTTATCCAAGTCACTGCTCTGTCAGTAACCTGCCAATCAGTTTCCATCACTCTCACATGCCTCCTGTCACCAGTAAGATTTACCTTGGGTCTTCCCTCTTGCCGGAGCAGGAATTCAACATCTCTAGTCCAGGCTTCCACACGGTTGCTGAGAACACAGACACAAGATATACGCACTTAGAGGAAAGTGTTTTTTTCACTTTCCCTCCACGCAAAAAGTTTCTCCTTAACTTCTCCTACATTTGTAGCTGCCATCTCCTTTTAATTGCTAGATAAAGGAAAATTGTTTTTAACTGTAGCTATTTTATACCTATTTTATATTCGCAGCTTTAGTCACTCTCTTCTGCTTCTCAATCTTTTTTCTTTTTTATTAAAAATTAATTTCAGAATGGTTCTTCTTCCCATTTCAACAGAAAAACAAATAAATTAGAAATAGCTTCTCCATCTTGCTGACCCCGATTGACTTTTTGTCATCGAATCATACAGTTCATCTGGTATGCACAGCCTTGGACTTACTTAAAAAAATTCTATGAGAAGTGACCTAGCTGGAGCAGGCACCTTCAAAAGACACATTCTGCTTTAGGAACATTATCACTTACAACAAAAATCTCTAACAGCAATTTATCTTGTACTTTTTCTTTTGATATAGTTGAGAAATGCCATCATGAAAATGGAATATAAGGAAAAATAAGAGAAAAATGTAGAGAGAAAAAAAGAAGGGGTGGGGAGGAAAAGACAACACTTTTGGAGCAGGTTTTTTTTCTTTCCTCCACAAAACACTGAGAAATCTGAGCTACAGATGTCCTGGCTTCTTTTCGAGACTGAATTACAACAACTGCCAAAAACAGGATTATAAGGAAACATTCAACTTAAAATCTCCACCCATCTTAATTTTGTTCAGGGAAATTTTAATATCACCACTGAAATTCCAAGGGAAAACATGAACGATGTAACCTTGCACTTTCATTATTTCATTGCTGACATTTAAAGAACACCTAACCATTTCTACCCTCACTGAAATTTTACCACTGCATCCTTGACATCCAGAACAACTACTTAGAATTATCTGTAACTGTATTTTTTAATTAGGCCTTTGTTTAGATTCATCCACACTTTCAAGCTGAAAGCCCTAAACAAACTACTTAGAGAAGTCATATTTGATAGAGAGTTAAAGAATAAATTCAGATGTGGGGATGAGAGTAGTGTCTGTGTCACATTGCATACAACACCGTAATGGTGACATATAGAGAAAAACATATTATATAGGCCAGATTGGTATCTAATCAGAATGAGAATAAGATCAAAGTAAAAACAAAAACAGAAAAAGCAAGCAAGCAAATAAACAAAAAACATTCAACCCCAATCCCTCAGACCAGTTCTCTGGAACAACACAGAAGATTTTTTACATGTGCAAGACTGATCCTCAGGCACAAAAGGAGAAAAAGATAAGCCAGAAATAGGAACCTTCAGAAAACCTGGTAGAGGAGTGAAAAAGGGAGCAATGCGAAATTCAGTCCCTGAATGTAAAATCAAAGTGCAAAGGCTTCACAGGTAATTATTTTAAAACTTCAGAGATAAATTCTGATTTCCAATACTTTCAGTGAGAATGAATACCACCTATACCAACAAACTGTACTCAGAGAGGCCTGCCATATTACTCACAACTGTCCATGTTATGGAAGGAACATCCATCTGATTACCTCACTGAATGATGTCCAGAAGTATAATCCAGTTTCCCATACTTTTGTGTGTAGTAGCCATGCTTCTGCATGAGATCCATCCATGTTACATAATCCGGATCTAGACCTTTGAAGTTATTCCATGATTCAGTTAAGTGTGTGAAAAGACCACTCCACATTGCTGGAAAATAAAATGAGACACGGTTTGTGAAAAGTAAGATAATAGGATTGAGAACATGTTTATGTAATCTTAGTTCAGTTACAACTTGGCCTTGAGAAACAGAAGTAATAGCTAGTTCTTAAGAAATGGAATACAGCAGTAACTTGGAAGCCTGTACCTGCTGCAGTTAGGACAGGATGCTTCTTCCAATTTACATCTGTAACAGTGCTGTAGATGACATTTCATTTACATCACTTCTGGTGGGTCTTTGCAACAACTGAGAAGGGTAGAAACACTACAAAATGTAACATTTGATTTAAGAATATAGCTTCCTTCTGAATTCCCAACTTCTAAATTCTGCAAATGGGAAGTTGCATATGGGATACTGATTGCAGCAAGTAAAGAATACTTAAGCATGTAACTAAAGATGCTAAAGGATTTATCATGTATTTAATGGCCTTAAGAATAAATGTAAACTACACAAGAAACAGAAAAAAAAAAAATGGATCAAGCACTGTATAAATTTGAGGTACTACCAAAAAAAGATTAATTGGTCTGACTGAGAAAACAGCAAAGCTTCCCTAATCTCAAGGCTTTGAAATTAACGTACATTTAAATTGACATAGGAAAGTATTAATCATTTGCATTTATCTGATGTTTCTCCTGGTCCTACCTGCACGAGAAGGACAACAAATTGGAGAGTTGGTATAGGCATTGAGAAAGACAGAGCCATGTCTTTTCATAAAATTTATGAAAGGCAAATCCACAGTCTGATTTCCAGGATAAAATGTCAAACGCCCATCCTGCAGTCAAATAGAATAACAGCATATAAGCATGACTGTCTCAAGTTATTGCCTGCAGTAATTTATAATTTATTAACTTGAAGCTGTGTTACTCAAATGTAACTGATTGTAAAATAAATTGTCAAGGTGGGGGGGAAAAGAAGCAACACAAATGACAACTGTATAACCACAACTACCTAAAGGAGGCTATAGCAGAATTGCAGAATCCCAGAATAGCCAGGGTTGGAAGGGACCTCAAGGATCATGAATCTCCAACCCCCCTGCCACATGCAGGGAGGATATTAGGAGAAATGTATCCTCACATTGACTGGTGAGGCAATGAAACACACTGCCTGGGGAGGTGGTGAAGGTTTTTATGAAATGCATAGATGTGGCATTAAGTGATATGATTTAGTGGCCAGTGGGTTGATGGTTGGACTAGATGATCTCATAATCTCAGTGCTCTTTTCCAACCTCTATGATTCTATTAGTCTATAAAAACGGCAGCATACAGAGGCCTGCTTCAGATCTGTTGGCAGCTTCAGCAAGGAACTAGAAATAAAATGGACTTTAACATTTAAAAATCAGCCATTTTGTTGGTTAATAGTAACTTTGATAGAAGCTGAACATTTGGAGGAAAAAAAAATGATTAGAATATTACGAGAGCTGATGTTCTCACAACGATAATAATAAGCAAAATACAGCCAGGGAACCTAGAGCTTAAAAAATAATAATAAAAAAAATTAAAAAAAAAAAAAGGAGCTATTGCTTCCTCTTTGAAATCACCACTAAGAAGCGGTCTAAGGCGGATATCGTATTTTACAAATAGTTAGGAAGAACTGTTCCATGAACGGCAGGCAACGCGCAGCAGAGCACAGGAGCGGAGGCCTGATGGCGGCTGCAGCTACTCGCCGCGAACAGAAGGCAGCGCCGAGCCCAGCTCTGCGGGGACGGCCGTTCCGCCTCGCCCTGGGCGAAGGAGCGGAGGCAGCGCTGTGCGACGGCGGGTAGCACCGAGCACAGCCATCATCACACCTGGAACTCGGCCACAAGCCGGGTGTAAATGTGAAACTCCCCGCGGAGCCGCGGCTACTCACGAAGGAGTCGCAGGCCAGCAGCACCACGTTTGGCCGGGAGGAATGCCTGAGCGGCCTCGGCGTTGCGCAGTGCGCGGTAGCCACGAGGAGAAGCCCCCGCAGCAACACCGGCGGTGCGCCTCTCCGCATTGCCCCGCAGACGGGCGCTCTGGCGCGGAGGGGCAGAACTACAACTCCCAGCATGCACCAGGGCGGGCGGCGGGCGGGACGGGTCCGCGCGCTGACGTGGGTGGTGGAATGCGCGTGCGCGCTGGCGGCGGGTGCGGGACTGCGAGGTGAGCGCGGCGAGGTGCGCGGCGCGTCGCTTTATAGCCGCTCGGTCCCTTTACAGCCCTTCTGTCCCCTCCGCAGTCGCTCTGTCGGCGCTCTCCGAGGCTTCGGGCGGCAGTCACGTGGTTTCTTGATTCTCTGCAGGAGGACGTGGATCCCAGGCTTGAACGCTGCCGGTGTTTTGATGGTTGCGATGACTGAGGAGCCCGGCCCTTCTCAGGGAGCTGTCTTTCTCTCCAGGAGCTGTTGAGTGATGTGAGTGTAATTTGCTTTCAGTCATTTCGTCACCCTGAGGGAGTCGCACGTCAGCCATCTTTCTTAGCCCTCCCATTAGTAGTATGTTTCTAGGCCTGCAGCCCATCTTCTGCTCTTTGGCCTCTAAAAGCTACTTTTCCATCTTTTGAGCCCCTTTCAGTGCCTTGTCAGTGGCGTTGTTTCTCTGTTGCATCTCATTTGACCAGTTTAATGATGTTTTTGAAATTTGTCATAGGTTAAATGTGAAACATATGAACCCAACTAGTATATAACTGTGGCAGGCTTTACAAGGAGTGATTCCTTGTCCTTTAAAACTGCTTCATTTTCTGCATGGCTGCAGTCAGAAGCAGGTCTGTCCTGGTTGTGTGAGAAGGAATAGGAGTGCTGCAGGTCCTGCACGGGTGTTAGTGATGTGCTGAGTTTCATCCTGCTACACATGGTGAGCAGGAAAGTCTCCGCTTCTTAGAAACCCCTTGGGAGCATGCCCAGTGCTCACTGCTTAAGAGAAACTATGCTGTGTCCTTTGTAGAGTGAATCACATAATGATTTGGGTTGGAAAGATCATCCAGTTCCAGTCCTAGTGGCTGCCGCCCATCAGGCTGCCCAGGACCGTATCCAACTTGGTCTTGAGTGCCTCCAGGGATGGTGTATCCACAGCTTCTTTGGGCAGCCTGTACCTCACCACCCTTAAGTGCTGACATTCCTGCAGTCTAACTGAGGTGACTGTCATATAACACCTCTCATCCAATTTAAAATTATCACAGAATGAAATTTGAGTTGAGACTTAAGATGAATACTTTGTACCATTGAAATCTTTGAGATATTGGCATAGTCCTGCTTAGCAGCTAAGTGTAAATAATCAATTTTAACCAAGTTGTTGTTTTTGCATTTTTTGGGGGGAAATGATCTTTCAATACGTGTGTTTTGACGCATTGCAATATAGTCCTATGTTTGAAGTGCTTTCTTTATGCTGCCATGGTAGGGTATAAGTAGTGGTTTGAGTTCATTATGTCTCTCTTTGATAACTAACCACATGTTGTTTTTTACTTAGCGGCAAAAATGTCAAATAAGGAGGTGAAGGCAGCATTAAAGAGCGCTAGAGAAGCCATAAGAAATAAGGAATATAAAGAGGCCTTAAAGCACTGCAAGGTAATTATTATTTCATTGGAAATTAGTAATTTTTGCAGTTCTTGTGTTTGTTGTTCCCATAAACAAGAACTGTATAATTATGCTGAGTGATGAATCTCATTGATGTAAGATTGATTATATAATTGAATTTCTGTTTCCTTCTGCTTTAGCATTTGCTTACGTATGGATAAGAGAACATTAAGTCTATAATAGTGATGACCAAAACTCATTTATAATCTGCACCTCGACAGGAAATTCCTAAGTTGCAGCTATGTTAACTGGCAGAACAGTTCAGACACGAAGGCTTCTGTGGCATGAAAAGCTGAGGTTCTTAATCTTTTCCAAAAAATGAGTTAGTTTCTGGTATCAACTATGAAGAAGAATTAACCAAATTTTATGAGAAAAGTCAATGTATGAATCAGTAAGATGCATCTCATTCATCAGTTTTACCTAAAAAAAAATGTCTATTTCCAGGTAGTCTTGAAGCAAGAAAAAAATAACTACAATGCTTGGGTATTTATTGGCCTGGCAGCTGCTGAGTTGGAGCAACCTGATCAGGCCAAAGGAGCGTATAAGAAGGCTATTGAACTTGAACCAAACCAATTACTGGCATGGCAGGTAAGTGTATGTCCAGATGTATTTGTTTTTGCCATGATAAGTGTTACTGTGGGGTTAAATCTGGGGAGAAGGCAAAACTGCATTGTGTTTACTTCAAGCACTTAAGTGTTCTGAAGCTTTGCAGTAGCAGAAGTATTGTATGTGTCCGAATTGAAGACTTGGGTGGTTACATGTGTGCAGCAGAGTAAATTTTAGTTCTAGAGTACTTAAGTTCCAGTACACCTAAATAGACAAGAGATTAGTGAAACATTCTAGAGAGTATGTGAATTAAGACACACATAGCCAGTTCATCTGTGCTCTGAAATACCATACTCTTAGCTCAACAAGCACTTTCTGGTGCTGCTTTCGTGAGAAGGAAAATGTTTAGTGCCTTATTTTTTCAGCATGAAATAGATTGTTGTTTGTTTTTGTTGTTTAAAAAATAACATTATGCCCTTAAAGTAGCAGTGTGTTGGATGGTGCATATACAACGTTTAGTAGTGTATGGCTATAGCATATTTGGATGATGGAGCATTAGTCTGCATGATAGATCAATCTCTCACATGCCAGCATCCAATATATTCTAATACTGTAAAGCTTTACATCTTCAATATAAACAGCTTTTTGCAGTATGAATGCTGGTACCTGATTTCAGGGTATATTGAAATATTGTTAGCTGCCTAGCAGTCATATTCTGGCCTTCTGTTACAATCCAAGGTGGCATGATACTTAGAGCATTTATCTTAGAACTTAGCGTGTATTGTATATAGTATATATATCTTGCAGAGAGGATCATTTAACATTTATAAGTTTCAAATAGTAGTCAGTATTAGAACAGGAAGTGAGGAAAGCTTTTAGTGTAAAACATGTAAAGGTCTCAACCAAGATTTTGCTCATGGGCTAACATATTAGCCCATGGAAGTGAGGAGAATATTTACATATATATAATTTTTCCTTTGGCAGAACTTGCAATATAAATTAAATTCATAATTACAGACATCAAATGTTCTTATCTGTAATAAACACTTTTTTTTAAACAGGGTTTAGCAAATTTATATGAGAAATCCAACCAAACGGATGTCCACGCAGACTTACAAGATGTGTACCAAAAACTCTTGGAACTCTATGAAAGGTAATGTGTATTGAGTCACAAAATTCAGTCTAAAGTTTCTTATTTGGTAGAGTTACCAATTTAGATGCAGCAGAGTTGCAATTTTTAAAATTATGTTACCTTTTGCCCTCTGTTTAAGTTCACTGTTAGAGCAGGGATGATTCCAAGCCTGATTTGAGTAGGCTTAACTTCACTCCTTTAAGATTGCAGTCTATGTCCCCTTGCTTCTATAGATAGAATTCTGAACAAAGGTAACTCAATTGTCATTGTAGTTCGCTGGAGCATTACATTTGTTTTCTGAATTTGAAAGTAGTTCACAAAGAAAAGCCCAGTCCTTAAAGTAATTGTTTTATCCAAAGCAACGGTGAGTAAAAGTTTTAAGGCAGTTTGTAGTATTTATTCTAAATATTTGTTTGGCAACTGTGAAGTTACAAAAAAACTTATTTGACAGAATAGGAAAGCTGTATCACTATTTAATGGAAAGCTCAGCTTTTTTTTTTATTTTCTTCTTTCTAGTGGAGACAAGCAGAAATGGTGTGATGTATGTAACAAGCTCGTGGAACTATATCGCCAAGGAAATAAATACTTAGAGGTAGGTGACTAATGTAATTTCTCTCTTCTGATTAGAAGGGAATTTCTTGTTAGAACAACCAATGATTCTATAGTTTTTTTGGGCCACAGACTACTGAAGATGTCTTCTTGGACCACAACTAGGAAGAACTGATTTTTTACTTATTTTTTTTCCTCTGCATAACAGACTTGGATGGAAGCTCTTAAACTGATGAAACTTGGAAAAAAAAAAATATCAGTGTATAGACTGAAAGGCTACAACCTCATTTTTCTGTTGTATATCTAGAAGTCCAGTGTGATTCCAAATGCATATTTGCTCACAGAATCCCAAAGGCCTTTGCCTGTCTTGGCCTGTTCTGCATACTTGTGTATCTTGTCTCTGGTGGGATCATTCTCTCCTTGGTGCCAGAGGGTTTGGGATTTACATTTGCCACAGGCCTGTCTGCCACTCGTGCAGAAAAGTAAGGACGTGCAAAGCTGCTTTGGGGCATCACAAGGTAGTGCCCACCTGGCAGCAGTCTTAAATTTGACTGTGTGATTACTGCAGAAATAACAATCTTGTCAGATTACCACGAGGTGGAGCTGTTTAATGCTTGTACAGTTCAACAGTATCTTTGCCTACAGCCTCTGTGGTGATATTACAGAATACTTCTTGCAGTTATGCTTATCACTTTTCCTTTAATTTTTGAAGAGTTTGTTGTTTTATAAGGTAGAGCGGGGTTTTATACTGTACCATCTTCCTCTTTTTCCTCCAAAAAAAGATTTTACTTCTGTCTTATTGTCAAATTCAAGACTATTTATTAACTTCAAAGTTTCTTTGCATAGCACTGTCTGAAAGTAAATTAGCTGATAATATCATTTACAAATGCAGACTTGTTCCACGTGGGACAGGAAGCCACAAATCTGGTGTTAGAGTCCTTCTTTCTCAGTCTTGCACACTGGAATTTCAGGATGTGTTCTTTTTGTAATGCCATAGTCTGATAAGGCTTCAGTTTATCTATTAGAGGTTATAGGAGGACTGTTTAAGTCTGTTTATACTGTTGATTTCCTCCAGGAACCAGTCAAAACTCCTGCTTTTGACATTATCTGGGAAGCTAGGCAGGTCTGAAGGTAATGTTTTGGAAGCTGTAACTGCTCTAATCAGAAGGCAGGTAACCCTAGGTGATCACTTTCACTCTGTTGTCTACCCTAATGTGGTAGGAAGCAAACTCCTTCTGTCTTGCTCCTAGTCAGGATCTATTATTTTGCTCGTGCCTAATCCTGTTCACAGCGTACTGCCTTTCAGTTTGTATGGGAGGTGATACATGAAGGACTTGTATTTCAAGGTGTAGTATTTTTCTTTAACAAAAGTCTTAATTAATGTGGGTTGTTATCTGCCACTGTTCCCACTGTGTGCTGAGTCTGGCATTCACTTTGCCTTCTGCAATGCATCTGTAACTCCCTCTCTATCTAATACTGAAAACTCATTTTTCTCCATCTGCTCCTTAATTTCTTAGTCTGCATGGCACCAGACTATCAGCCAGATTATTTTCTTACTTCATTTATTCATGGCTTAGGCTGGCTGCACTGTCATTTAACTTTTTCAAGAAATGATACATGGTTTCTTTTTTTTCTTTTTTTTTTTTTTAATGGATATTATGTAAATATAAATAAGTGTAGTAGCGGAAGTAATCTAGTAACATAATGGTATCTTCTGCAACAGTGTTCCATTGGACTTTTCTCCAGAGAAAACTGAAATTTATTGCTTAGACTTGACAGTATCAGGTGTCCAAGAGTTACAACATAGTTCATTTGTTTCCTACTGTCAGGCAGCAGAAATATGCCAGAAACTAATAGAAGTGAAAAAGGAAGGAGGTGCAGAAAAGGTGGAACTCCATCAGCTTTGGAAGAGGATGATCCAGTTACTGGGAGACAATGTGCAGTACCAGGATAATAAGACTGCACAATTGGTAAAGTTTCTCAATCCCCTTCATCTTACATTTCTGTACATGGTGCTGCTAGATTTCAGAGGAAGCCTTGGAAAACAAAAATCATGTTACAGTTTCTCATGAATGTTGAATGATACTAAGCTTTTCATGAAAAAGTAGGTGATTTCACCATCTGTCAGAAACAATGAAGGTGCAACCACCCAAAATAGTGGGACAGAGCATCCAGATCTAAAGTTTTCCCTAAACTTCCTCAGTTTTGTGGAAGCCTAGATTTGCACTGTAATGTGGTGATGCATTGTTATGCCCCTACAAGAAGAATCCCTGCATTGACATATCTGAACAGAACAGCTTCTGACATATTTGTAAGTTCTGACAATGTCTACAAAATAGGCATTCTCCAAAACAAGAAACTCCTTTCCTTCTGCTCCCTTGGTGGAATAGGTTTTGTGCTGTTTTTCCATATTTTCATATGCAGTGCTTATCATATGTAGGAAAATTTGAACCTAAATGTTGCTTAGAAAAATGTTGTAGCAAATTGGACCAAACAGTAGGATCACGAGTTATACTGATTCTGTGTGCTGTATGGCCAAAGTTAACTTTTTGAGTGATTTATCTGTTCTTGCGAAATGAGCCTCTTTCAAAGAGAAGGGTAGAACTTGCTCTTCCCCAGTCTTGTTGATAGCAATGTTCACAAAAGGCAAAAAAGTGCTGAAATACTTCCAGACAAAAGGAAACTGAATCTGCACCTGTCTTTTTAGAAGTCATATGCTGTAAGTGTCAAAAGCTGTTAGCACAAAAAGAAGTGCTGCAGGCAGTACTTGTTGCCTTTTGAGGTTAGTGTGGAAGAGTAAAATAGAGCTAGGTTATGCAAAGATCAGAAATGATATTTCATCTGCAAATCTACAATTTACTGTATTGTATGAGAAGATGTGGGCAATGTTTTGCTGAAGCATGCTTCTTTGGTAGCTTGCATTTAGTAGTGCCTACGTTTTCCCCTATATTCCCATACAATCATGTATTTATATGCATTTATTTATGTGTATGTAAAGAGTCCAGAAATAAAAGACTAGATTTTTTTTTCAGAGCTGGGGCTGACAGTTAACAGCTATTAATCTAGATTTTATTGTACCAAGTCCTCTTTGTACTGGGACTAGGTACTAGGAAGAGTCTGTTCCCATAGATTTTGTTGTCTTTGTTCATGTGTTAGACAACATATAGTATTGTTTCATCTTGCTCTACAGAATTAGTGTTGAGTCCTTTATGAGTATTATTTTGGGATAAGGAACTTGCTTTCTTTTTTCTCTGTTCATGGTCCTAGTTAGAAAAGGTAAAAAAAAAATGTTTAGCACTTATAACATTTTCTCAGAGTCATTGCATTTTTAATTATTTCTTATTTCAGCTTTTGAGTGGATATGAAGAGGCACTGAACTCTGCTGACACTGTCCCCAGTGAAGATCATCGAAATCTTTACAAAGACTTTATTCAGTGCTTGTCAAAAGTAAGGTTATGTTTATCTGTCTTCTTCAGTGACTACATGTGACATCCACCATCTGATAATTTGTAGAAATAACTGTTTTGTTTTTTTCTTTCAAGTTTCCTCATGAAGCAACTAAATTGGAAAAAGCTTGTGATGATATGATGGCTTTATATCCGACTTTGAGTTATCCTTTAGAAGTACTTTGCTTGTACTTCATTCAATCAGGTGAGAAGGATGGGTGTAGGTATTGTGCAAGACTGAAAATATTTCTTTTTGTGGTTGATTTTGTGACAATTTTTTTAACAAGTTTTTACCTTACACGCCTAAATAAAAGCACACTTTATTTCTACATTATGTTTTACCCATCTGTTTGGTTGTCTGCTGTTGTGATTTAACATGGCATGCAGCTCAGCACCATACAGCCATTTGCTCACTGCCCTGCAAGTGAGATGGAAAGGAAATCAGAAAAAATAAACGCATGTGTTTTGTTGAAGACAGCTTAACAGAACATTTAAAAAAAAAAAAAAAAAAAGAGAAAATATTTATTATTACTGTTATAGCCAAACAAGTGCTGCACAACGTGGTTTCTCAGCTCCAGTCCACCAATGCCTGGCCAGTCCCTGAGCAGCAACAGCCTACTGACAGCTCCTCCCTGTTCTGCTGTTCCATATGGTGCCATATGGGATGGGATATTGCTTTAGCCAGTTTGGGTCAGTTTCCCTCCCAGCTCCTTTTGTACCTCTAGCCTTTGCACTGGCAGGGCAGTCTGAGAAGCTGAAAAGCCCTTGCCTTGTGTAAGTACTGCTCAGCAGCAGCTAGAACATTGATGTGCTGTTAACATTACTTCCATCCTAAATCCAAAACATGGTGTCACACCAGTTACTGTGAGGGAAATTAACTCTACCCCATCCAAAACCAGATAATGTTTATGATTTCTTGATACTGTAGCTGAGTGGTGACTATAAATTAGCAAAAGAAACAAACTAGAAGAGAGGAAAAAAAAAAAACAGATCAAGACTGGCATCATACCAAATAATGAATATAGAATGCCTTATAAAATTCAATAACAGTTTCTGCAGATAAATTATTTAAGCTTTGCATTTAGTAGTGTCTGTGATTTCTTAGTTTATGGAGTTTAGAAGAGAGAATGGAGAAATTAACTGAGGTTGAGCAATGGCTGTGTTTAGGATATTCTTGGCAAAGAAAGTCTCTCCTGACTGGAAATAAGGATTTGTAAAATTGTTAGCCAGAAAGTTTGGTAAATAGAAAATAAACAGATCTGTCTAGGTGTTTGTTCAAGGTAGGAAAGAATGATTGCTGAGGAGAAAATATACAGTGGTATGTTTAGTATTGCAGGGATCTGGAAACATAGTTGTTACAATCAGTAGTTGCTAATACAGTGTTGTTCACCATTAACCATTTTCTTAGCATTTTCAAAAGTAACTACAAAATTTACTCCTTTGTTTGAGTCTTTACAGAATCAGAAGTTGACATTAGCCACATCAAAATATGTTTGGTTAAACAAGGAGGAAAATCATTTTATCATTATATCTGTGTCATTCTAACACAGTACTTTAAGTCCCAAATTTGTGGGCTTGTAACTCTATTACTCCTCTTTATCAAATGGAGATCAAAAGCTACTTTTGTCAAGTGGGTCCATACTTTAAAAAAGAAATCATTTAAAAAATGTTGCTGTAAGTCACAGCAGTTTCTTTAAGAAAGAGATGAAAAACCTACAGATTAGTGTCATCAATAAAATGTTGTGCTTGGACATCACATTTCATGATTTCACAGCAAGACTGTTTCAGCAAGCTCATCACAAGAAATTTGTAATTAAATGAGGCCTCCTTTGAAAGAAAGTTATTCTCATTTCTTTGTGGCAGATTTTGATGAATGAACAGTGACATAGGTTTAGATGGAAGGCATACGAAAGAGTGGCTTTCTCTTAGGAAAGTATACTTGGAGCAATTTAGCGTGTGTAATTTAGCATATTAAAAAAAAAAATTAGAATGGGTATTTTAATGATTTCTTGGTTTTTTATGTATTTACTTTTAGAGCTTATAAGTATTAGAGTATCTCTGGAAAAAAATTGTTTAATAAACTCATTGTCTTGAGCTCAAAGGTGTCATATAAGTATATATGTTTATGTAGGTAATTTAGAGTAGATTGTTGCATTTTTTTAAATCTGCATCTCAAGAAAATGCTTTTTTTTTTTTTTTTTTTTTTTTTTTTTCCTTCCCTTAAACTAGGTACTTTGTCAGAAGAGGCCTTGCAGTATTTTTCTAAGCTTCTGGAGATGGACTCAAGTAGTGGTCCAGGCATCATTGGTTTTGGTATAAAATGCCTCCAAGAAAAGAAATACAAAGAGGCTATTAAGAGTCTTACTGAAGGTAAATGAGTAATGTGAGGTATGGGTACTCAAACAGCAGCTAGTTTACACTGAACATTCTCTCTGGGAATCTTATATTTGTGTATTACTTTGCCGTTGTGCAAGTAGCAAAAAGAACAGCTAGCTCTTAAAAGAAAACGGAATGCTTTGTCTAATAGAAGGCTGAGATATATTTTCTAAATATATATTTAAGTATAACATCTCTGAAGACAATCATTTCTGTTATAGTCAGCTGTGTATTGCTTTCTGTATGGTACACTTTAAATTTTTAGTATGTCTGTTCTTGGACTTTGCTTGGATGAAGAAGCAAATGTACCAATAACAACTAAATAAAGCCTGACAGACATTTACAACCTTATTAGTCTTTGCCTTATAGTTTGGAGGCCTCTGACTCTAAGATGCTTAGAGCAAATACTCAGGAAAAGTTAACTGTCTAATACTAATTGTTTAATTATAGTATTTTTTATGGCATTATAGGGCAAAACAGCATCTGCCAGCTGCAGAATCTTTGCAGTGCTAAGCAACTTTTGCTCAATGCCTTTCTCCTCTTTTACTAGGTTTGCAGAAGGTTAGCCAGTGTGCAGGAGCATGGCATTACTTGGCAGAGGCGCAGATGAAAGTTCACAAATACAGGGATGCTGTCCTGTCCTGCAATCAAGGTAACTGTCTGTTAACTGACAGGGATAAAGTTCTTTCCATAGACCAGTCAGTGTGGCCTTTACGTGGGAGGCCTGAGTGAGCAGTAGCTGTTGTCCTTTGCATTTTGCAGTCTTGCTGCTTGTGCTGGTGTTCCCTTGCTTCTCTTCAAATGGTAAAGTAATTGTTAAGGAGAACAAATGAAGGCTGTAAAGTTGTGCAGAGAAAATGTGAAAACAGAACACAGTAGGTCAAAAGAGGTCAGGAAAGGTATTGCAGAAAGAATGAAGTGCAGGCAATTCTTTTCCCATCTGTTTTTAATTGGAAGAGCTTGGGGAAATGCATACTTCAGGTTCCTTTTTTTTCAGAGGAGTCATCAAAGAATTTGTGATTATAATACTGACAGGAATTGGTATAAAATATAAAAGGAAAAATGACTGTTTGAAGAACTATAAGATCTTGATGTAGGAATTGAGCAGGGAATATAAAAATGAAATTACTGAAGTACTAAGTGTTATTTGATCACTTGTTTAAACCATCTTAGCATCCAAATGTGTACAGGTGTTTGGTATAAGTATTAACTTACAGAAAGAGATCTAAGCTAGATCTGAGAAACCAAAGACAAGTCTGGTATGTTTAATGATCAAGTTAGTCAAAAACTGGAAGAGAGCTAAAGAATCAGTGTAGATACATAATTCTGGGAAACGGACAGCTTTGCTCCTATAAAATGTGTTTTGGAACTCTTTGAAGGAGCTAGCAGTGTATGGATGAGGTAGTGTTGTAAGAGATCTTACTACTTGGAAGTCAGAGTGCTAGCATCAAGACATATATATATTTTACAGTTCATAGTTGTTGTTTCAAGTCGCTTAAAAGCTAGATCACAACATAATAATAATGATGAGTTGTCATGTTGGAAGGAAGTATTCCCGATATTTTCACTGGGACCTCTTTTGTTTGTCCTCTGTTCTAGTCCATTATGATTTTCAAGTTTGCCATGCTTCAGAGCAGACCAAAAAGCTCTAAGAAGAGATTACCAGAGTAACTAACTAGGTGTGAGAGTAACTAATAAAATCCAAAGTTTATAAATGCTAAATCATGCAGCTGTGGGAAGAGATGTTCTCAAGAAGCTGCCCTACAAGAGCAGAGAAGTCTTCATTTTTTTTTTTATTTTTTTATTTTTTGGAAAAAGTAAGACTGTGTCTCTGCCCTCCAATGCTTTACAGAGAGCTTCAGTATCACAGATGTCATTGAGGGAATGGTTAGTGAAACAGGGCACTAGCATGCAGCTGTATAAAGAACTAGAGCAGCATGGTGAATTCCGTGTGCAGCTTTGGTATCTGCCCACTCTCTGAAAGAAAAGATGGTTTTGAAATCATGAAACAATGTGGAAAATAAAGATCAATTATTTTCTTCTACACAAGATCTAGTTAACGTGAAATGAAGCAAAAGGCTGGCACTAGAAGCAAAGGAGGTTTTGTTACTTAATTCAAGGTGAAAGTTAGGGCTTTGTAGGTTTTGTGCACTGTTGTTGCAGAAAGTTTCCTGGAGTTCAAAGGATGTCCAAAGTGGGAAAGAGTTCTGGGGAGGTAGTTCTATGTTCTTGTCCTCCGCTTATGCTTTTCTTAGACATCGGCAGGTAGGTGTAGGATGCAAGGATAGACTGGCTTTATCAGATCGGACAGAAATTTGTCATATATGGAATCAGAGTTAACGATTGAGAAAAGTGCTTGTCTTTCGAGAATGCTGACGAGCAACAGAGATTCTCAGAGGTGAGATTATACAGATGATTGGACAATGCATACAACAGTACGGAGTTAACTTTTGCGCAGATGTAGAGTTAAATCTTTTATTTTAATAGAGGGGAAAAAATATTACTAAACATTAAAGTGCAGAACAGCTTGGTTAGTGAAAAGTCATTGTTTCTTCTTCAGAGCATGGGTCAGGAAAACATAGCATTCTGTTTAGGAGGTTGGCATCCTGAAAACATTCTGTTTCTTTTACGTGTCTGAGGGGCCTTTCTAAAATTCACTGAACTTTTGAACTTCCATGGTTAAATTTTATAGTTTCTTCAAGATGAGAGAGAACAGTCTATAAATTAGCTTTATTAGTTCCTTTCCTATTTTTGTTTGATGGAACTTTTGTCTTATCAACAGCACTTAAGAATCTTCAAACTCTTGATGGTGCTACTCTGCAGCGGAAGAACCTTATCCTTCAGTTGAAAGCAGAGGTTTTGATCAAAATATCTGATGCTGGAGCTGCAGAAGAAGCCATTAATGCACTCGAGCAGGTATTTCCACTGATCAAGTGAAGTTTAAGGAAAAAAGCACTCTCATCTCTATGCCCTGAAAATTCAAGCTGTGTATTTTCCCCATCTCCTTTTTACATTCTATGTGATTTATACAGCTCCTACCAACTATGCTGTAATCAGTACACTCACCTCTTTGCCACTTTCCCTCCCCTGTTTTCTAGGCTTTTCTATAACTGCTTTTAACTCACAATTCTAATTTTAAAAACTGTCACTCTTGATCTATTCTGGTCTTGCTTAGCAATGCGGGATTGTTGCTAGTTCTGAGGCTACTGTTCACCTGAATTTGAATTACCGTTACAATCATACTCCCTATGTCCTCAATTAACTTATCATTTCACATAAGGACGTACCTTTAAGACTGAGTAGAATAGCTTCAAGCAGAAACTCCTTTCCCTTTCTTTATGTGTCACAGTTCCATGTATACTACCTTTTGCACGGTTCAGACTTCAGTAGCTTTGACTTTGCTCTCCGCAATCTGCTGCCTCTTCTTCAGTAGAAATCTCAAGGGTCTTCTCTTGAAATGTTTTTCTTATCTTTATCTTCATGTAGACTGCATGCTTCTGACACCTTGCTTTTGTAGTGAGAATAGCTTGTTTGTGTCTATTACTTGGTTTTCTAGGTTGTGGGAGCAAGCAGTGATCCTGTGCTTTTAGCTTTCAAAGGTCGAGCATATTTAAACAAAGGTTTAGTTGATGAAGCTTCAAAGGTTAGTGCTTTTTGGTCCTTTATTAAATAGAACTCTTAATGTCATACAGAAATAACCAGGAAAGAGTGACATATTTTGCAGATTTCGCAAGAGCTTCTGTTGTCGCATCCTGATGTAGCTGAAGCCCATGCTCTTGAGGGTTACATCCATTATTCTCAGAAGAAATATGAGCAGGCAGAAAGAAGGTAAACCTTTTTTTTCTCCACTGTAGCAGGCTGTAGGGGAGAATAAAATACAATGCTTTTCAAGTTTGATCTGATCTCTGTTCTTTTTATTTAGTTTTCAAAATGCTATTGAAAGAAGGGCTGAAATTGCTGAGTATCATCAGTATCTGGGGCTCACTTATTGGTTCATGAGTGATGAGACAAAAAAAGATAAAGGAAAAACACTCACTCATTTCTTGAAGGTAAAAGGTTCTTTATTCATTTAAATCAACATTTCTCTATATTGGAAGCATGAAGTACTCTAGCTGGAATGAGAGACTTGAATACTGTGCTTGTTACCATTCACAGGTCTCCAGAGCCTGTAAACCAATTTCAGCTGTGAACAAATTCACTATGGGGAGCTGTAGTTAACTGAAATCTCCTAGCTTTTTTTTTTTTAGCCACCTGTTCAACTAATTATTGAGATCTTTGTGAAGGAAAATGAGGTGGTGATTTGTTGATTCTCTCAATCCTCTGTCCTGAGAGCTATAAATTTGGGACTTTAGATGGGCATTGTGTAGAGCTTCCAAGACAGAGCTTCCAAAATGTCTTGAAATGCGGAGGGCAGTATTCAAAATGCAAAGAAACAAAGAGGTGGAAAAAATGTGTTCTTAGAGTTTCAGTGTGTATCCACAGATGTAATCCTGCAAAGCCCCTGTAGTTTATATGCTTTTCCAAACCATTGCATTTTTTAGTGCATGTGGATTTCTCCATGTATAGATCAGAATCTGATCCAAGGGATTTAATCTGATGTCATTTTGAGGAACGTAGAAGCTTTGCTCCCAAAAATAGGAATCTGAACTTCTTAAACTCACTGTATGCATTTATAGCAAGTGTCACTGCTCCCACTTCAGTAGCAGCAGTATATAGCATGCAGTGTATTTTAAATGAATATTTTAAATACTCTTAACAATTTTTGTAAGCTTTTTTAAAAAAAAATTGTCTGAGCTGTTGATATGCTGCTTTGGGGGTGTTGTTTCTCATATATAAACAAGTGTGTCAAATGTACACAAAATTAACTCAAACCTTTGAAAATGTAAGAGTTAATTGTGGTGTAAGGTATGACTGTAAGTGTAATGGTTGAATTTTGAGTAGAATTTTAAAGTGATGATATTGTGAAGTGAAGGAATGTTCGTTGCTAATGCATTTATCTGGTTATTATTTCCATACAAAATGCTTTTGTGTCATGAACTTTGTGGATGGTTCTGCAAGTATTTAAAGCTGAAGTAGCCTTTGAAATATTGAATGCTTAGATATAGCACAGAAGAAGCTGAAATAAGTCAATAAATGGAGACTGTATAAGTAGTTACCACTGGACCTATCCGCATTCTTGATCCTTCAAAAGGCACTCTTATATTGTGTTTGTATTTCCTTATAGGCTGCAAAGTTGGACAGCTACTTGGGAAGTGTCTTTTGTTATTTAGGTAACTACTACAGAGATGTTGCTGGAGACAAAAGTAGAGCTCGTGGTTGCTATAAAAAGGCTTTTGAACTGGATGGAACTGATGAAGAATCTGGAGCAGCAGCTGTAGACTTAAGTGTGGAGCTTGGAGACACGGTATTGCACGTTCAAGGCCCTGGGTTATGGTTATTTGGCTTTTCTATTAATCTTAATAATCTTTGAGGAATCACCTCTGGTTTCTTTGGTACTTGAGAGTAAGATCTGAAAATGGATGTTCTGTCGTTGCCTGGCAGTTTTCACAGCTGGACTTGCTTCAATTTTATGCTTCAGTTCTGAATTAAACTTACCTGGAGAGGGTGCTGGGGTAAGCAAGTATAACGTTGTAGTCATCCCATGTGGTTCAGAGGGGAAGTTTTTTTTTTTTTTTCAGTAGAAACTTGTAGAGAAAGTAAGTTTACTTCTCATATTTAACTTCTGCTATTTTTTTTTTTTTCCATCCTCCCCTTGTTCCTTTTGGAAAAAGCATATAAAGTGATTAGAATGTTTTTAAGAAAGTATTTCTTATGTAGCACTGTATAAGAAGTTCTTAGTCTGATACTAGCAAGAAAGTAGCTCACACTTTGACAGACTCCATTTGAACATCTGCAGAATAAGATTAAGTATCTGACTCACCACAAAGACTTGTGCTTTTCTAGTTAAAAAATAGATCTATCACTGCAGAACTGCAGGAATCTACTGTCTTTTTGCAAAGACATACAGAAGATGTGATAATATCCTCCTGTATTCTGCCACTCAGTTTGCCAACTTTTAAAAGCTCCTGTAATGTTACTTCTTTACAAGAACAAGAAATCAGACAGTTTAATGGTGTGCCGAAATTGGAATATTCTTCTTAATAATTTTGTTCTTTGCATCCAAATGTATATTTACATGGTATTTTTGTTTTTTTTATTAGGACACTGCTCTATCCATCTTGAATGAAGTAACTGAAAAAGCAAATGCTGGTGCAGCAAAATGGGCTTGGCTTCATCGTGGACTTTACTACCTCAGAACTGGTCAGCCGTCAAAAGCAGTGGCTGAGTAAGAGAACTAGTGGTTGGTTTAAACCATTTTCTATAAATCCTGCTAATTGATCTTCCAAGGTTTTGAAATTAAGTTAGCTGATCACAAGGCAGCCAGTACTAAACTGGGAAGTGGATCTGAGTGATTCTGAAGTTAGCATAATGCAGTCTTCTCATGATAGCAGTGATCTCTGCTAACAAGCCAGATAATGAGGCTTCTTGTAAACAAGGAGGTTGTAACACTGAATAAAAGCCAAAAATAGGTTCAATAGCTAAGCTTGTTTAATTTGTTCTGTGAAGAATTAAACACTGTTTTGCCATTTCTAAAAGTTCTGTATAGTTGTCTGCTTGTGTGCTGAGATTATGTAATTTAAAGAAATAATTTGTTTTTGTTAATTTATGTCACGTTTAATTTAAATCTAAATCTTGATATCTGCAGTTTGCAGGCAGCTCTCAGGGCTGACCGAATGGATCCCAACTGCTGGGAGTCTCTAGGGGAGGCTTATGTGAGCAGAGGTAGCTATGCAGCAGCTCTAAAATCCTTCAGGAAGGCCAGTGAGCTGAACCCAGACCACGTGTACAGCATTTACAGAGCTGCAGCAGTTGAGCAGATTCTAGGCAAATATGAAAATGCTATAGCTACCTATCAGCAGATCTTAGAGAAGACAGAAGAGTATGTACCTGCACTTAAAGGTAATATGTCTGTATTTTCAATTTTAGATCTTTTTCTCTCTCTAACTCTGTAGTACTTCAGTTTTATGGAGAGGTTCTTGATAACTGGTATAGGTAGGCCTGCCTACATGAAAGAGTATTTTTGGATGTTCAGAATGCTGTGATCCACTTGCATGAAAGCCAGCATGTAGTAGCCTGCAAATACTTGAGGAGCTCTTAATATCACTATCCAAAGGAGTAATTATAAAGGTAACTATTCCTGTGTAACTATAAGGACAGAGGAATTTAAAATTTATGTAGGAAGCCAGCTAATAATGCTGCAGTTTCACCTGAGCAGTCACACCATGGATGACTAAAAAGGCAGTGGAGTCAGTCAGCCTTGTCAAGGGGGTGGGCTGTGCTCGTTTTCTGCTGCCCTTGACCATGTCTTTATCAGGTTTTGTGAACTTAGTTGTTGGAAGCACAGTATCATAGCAGATAAAAGAGTTAACTATACTGATCTGCTTTAATGTGTCTTTTATATGCATTCCAGTTTTGTGTTATTGAATACTAAGTTTATTCTACCACTGCTCCAGTATCTGTTTTTAACGTATAACTTTTGGAAATAAAATGAGTTCTGCTTTTAGATGGCAGCTTTCTTGTACTTGAGCTTATAACCTTGGGACTTGTGTGGTTGAAACAATTACCTAATGTGAGCAGGATAAGAGGCTTACAAAGCATGATTGCATCAAAGTCATACAGGCTGCATTTCTTCCAGTGTCATAATCCAGAAAGAGAGATGGGTGGCTTGGTGTAGATAAGGAGTACAATTGCATGATGAAGGCAGCTTCAGAACTGTGAAAAAAATACTAAGAATCAATGGAACTCACATCCAATGACTTATTGCCACTCAGAGTCACAGCCAATACCAGCAAGAGTATAAACCAAATCCTGTCTTGAATTTTCCAGAATTCTAAAAATTACAGTATTGGGTGAAGGCTTTTTGATAGTTCAATTTATTTCTACATAATGTAAATTCTTGCTTAAATAGGATTAAGTAATGTTGGTTTCAGTCACCTCAGAGAAAAATTCCCATCCTACCTTGGTATAGTCCTGTTTTGTATTTTGTGTGTGCTTTGATACTGTTCTTGTATTTGTCAAAGGCTAACCAATGCAGAGTAGCTTTCTAGGTGAGTGAGTGTTCTAGTTAATTCCTGAAAACAAACACCAAATTTTGGTGCTATGCTTTATATAAGTAGGTGTACTTTAATATTCAGATTGTGCTACAGTTCGTGCTGATTAGGGAGAGGTAAGAGCAAAGTGTCTCTTACGAGCAGGAGAGTTTTTGTAGGTTTTTGTGCTTTGGCTTAGTACATGCAGGAAATAAAGCAGAACACTGAGCAGGCTTTCTCCTATACCACCCCACCTCTTCTAGCAAGCAGTGTCAGGCAAGCATCTTTTTTCATAAAGGATAACTTTGTCTTACTTTTAGGACTTGGAGAATGCTATCTCATGCTGGCAAGATCAGCCCTTGAGAAGTACCTTGATATGAGGGCTGTGGGTTACATAGAGCAGGCTCTTGAATTTTTTACAAGGTGAGTACTAAGTATTTAATGTACCAGACTTGTGGTTTGGAGAAAAATAAATGTTAAGTGTTTGAAAACTTTCAGTTAAATTAAATAAAATGAATCAGGCCTCTGTTTTAGAAGAAAAAGTTTAGAGAAAATGCATTGAACAATGCATTTTGGATTGAGTAAATGGTAACTATAAAATTACTATTATTTTTACCATATAAAAAATAGAGTCCTTTGACTTTTTCAGACTTCTGAAGTTGCCTATCGTTCTCTTTAGTTGTCATTGTGTATATATGGAACTTAAGGGAGGAAATATCAATCAAAAATGGTGGCTGAGAAAGTGATCTTTCCTTCCATCAATCATACTGTTCTACATTTCAATTAAAATGCTTTAGTGGCCTAAATTAAACCTTGGAGTAACTGCTGTTACAGAGTAAAGTCCACTAGGTTTCTGCAGGTGTCTCATGCTATGTAATATAATGGCAAAAATTAGTAGATATATAATGGCTGATTTTTCTGAACATGCTTAGTCCCCACAAACTTGGGATATTTTGATGTAGTTTCTGATTTATTTTTTACATTTTAAACCTAGAGGTTGAGTGGGAAGAATTCTGATTTAAAAAAAAAAAGAAAAAAAAAAGTACCAAACAACTCATTGATTAATTAAATTGAGTTTGTGCCACTCTTCAGAGTGGCAAACTTTCTGAAAAACGTATTGTGATGCCTGAATGGTTGTTTTGTGGGTTTTCTTAATTATTAAATTACAGGGCAACAAAGAACCGACCTGACATATCTTCCCTTTGGAAACTGCTTGGCGATACCTGTACTAGTGTGCATGTTATTTCACCAGCCAAAGTGAATGTTCAAGTTCTAGGGTCGCTTCTGGGTAAAAATGAAGGCAAACAGATGCTGAAGAAAACTGAGCTGCTGAGACTGGGTGGAAGGTAATTATTTATTTATTTATTCCTTACTGTTAAGTATTTCTACACATCTGTACACGCTGTAGAGTCTCAAATATTCTAGACTATGTTAATTTTAGAAAAGAAAATACACGATGATCTTCTGACACATGAATATTTAGTGAAGACTAAAGAAAAAGCAAATTCTCATGATTCTTCTAAATTACACCGCTTATTTCAGAGAATGCTCCCTGGGTTACCACAATGGCTCTCAGTGCATCATCTAGCACCTGCTATTTTCTGTGCTTCCTTCTGCCTCCAGAGCGTGGCTGTATTGTGCCTGTTATTCAGTCATTTATTCAACTTCAAATTAAGTGATTGCAGTGGTTGTTACCCAGTTCTCTCAGGACTACTAATGTCCAAGTTAAAACTCTAAGCTTTGTTTGTGACTGTAATTAGTTTTATAAAACTGCCATTAATTTGAGCCCCACGTATGTGATCTAAATTATATTGGAAGAGGGAATTCCTTTTTCCTGGCCCTGGAATCTCATGATAAAAAATATTTGTGGTTTCCTCATAGCACCTTCTGTGCTGCTAGTATGTTAAGGTGGGCTGAAAATGCTACTGCTTAGTAAATCTTAACCATTGTGTGTAGTTAAGTACTTCCTAGGGAAGTCTGATTAACTTTAGAAATGGCTGATGTTTGTTATAATTAAAACATTCACGTTGCACCTGAGGTCACTTTGATTGATTACACGTGTATCATTTCATAAGTGATGGATAAGGCAAACCAAGATAGATTCTATAAAGATAACTGTCTAACTGAAAGTTATTCAGTTGTCACTGGGTTTCCATTCTTGCCTGGTTTTGTTTGTATTTATGCATATTTGATGGTTTGGGTTTTTAAGCACTTTTGAGCATCTTTCATGTGGAAAGGCTTGGGATAATACTTCTGTGATTCATGTTTCTGTAGGTGTTATGGCAGAGCTTTAAAATTGATTCCTTTGCCTAACATATGGTGTGATCTTGGAATAAATTATTATCGACAAGCTGAGCACCTCACAGCAGTAGGCACGGACCTAAATGAGATCAGTGAACTACTAGAGAAGTCTTTACAGGTATTGCCTGTTATTCTGTTGTGTTCTTTAAAATCTACCTTGATGCTTGTCTGCCTAACTTCTGTCTCTAAATCTCAGTAAGCTAGCCCATGATGTCTTAACTTTTGCTATTCTATTGATGTAATTTGCATTCGATTTTCTTCCAGTGTCTCAAAAAAGCTGTGAGGCTTGACAACAAAAATCACCTTTATTGGAATGCACTTGGTGTGGTTGCTTCCTGTAGTGGTAAGTCTTCAGTGAGATCCCTAGCTGCATAATATTCTACATTAGAAGGCAATGCATGACTAATGCTGTTTACAAAATTTGGTTAGATCTAGCTTTCCTTTCATTTTCCCCTTTTTTTTTTTTTTTGTCCCCCCAGCTATTGGGAACTATGCTCTTGCTCAACATTCGTTCATCAAATCTGTTCAAGCTGAGGAAATTGTAAGTGCTGTAGGCAGCTATCATCTGTTTCAAGTGGACGTTTTAAACTTTTCTTCCCTTGATGCAGTGTTACTCTTTCAGAACACAGCAATAATATGTAGGTTTTATTTGTTCTGTCTAGAATGTTGTTGCCTGGACGAACCTGGGGGTTTTGTATCTAGCGACTGGAAACATTGAGGTAATTCCCATCCCTTAAATACAGTTTCCCTTTACAATTTCTTAGGGGAATATGTGGTTGTAGGAGTGTGAGCAAACAGTGAAGAGCATCTCTCTCAGATTCAAGAAAAATACTTTCTTTGAATGAAAGTTACACAAATTAAGTATTTGTTATGGACTGGATATGGTTAAGTGAACTTAGGCTAAATTGCTGAAGTTGCTCTCCAAATGACTACATAGAATAAAAGCAGTTTGTAAGGATGGAGAAAGATCGGTATGTCTTATAATTTGCCATAGTTCTTTAGAACTTTCAGAGTCTCTCTGGAGGAAAATTAGAGTACCTGTTAAGTGAAGTTCAGAGTTTTCTTGCAGCTAAAACTACATGCTATCGTATTTGCAGGTCAGAATTTTGGCAATTTTATTTAATTTATGAAATGGGATAGTGAGACTGAGAATTATTTTTAGTAAAAGCAACTTGATATTACAAATTCCTTGCTGCTGAGAGTAATAATGCTAGGACTTGTCTCCTTGTGCCACATTGAGGAAGGAATTCTGAACATATACAGTCATGTCTTTCCTTCAGGATTTATGTAGAGTAATCAGCTTAATAATTTTCAAACCATTTACATGAAAGAAATGTAAATTTCAAAATCTGGATCCTCCAGGTGTCTAAATTTAAAATATTAATTGTCCTAGCAGTTAATGTAGCTTCTTCCTCAAAACAACAAAACAGTTAATCTAGTTGAGAAGTAAGTGTTTTTGGAAGGGAGGGGGACTTTTGATGTTTTAAACAGTTTTTACAATTATTCTTATTTTTAAGAAGTCTAAGCTGCTTTATTTTTCCGGTTAGCAAGTTATTCTGTATGGCACAGAACTAGTAATGACTTAATTTCATTTGTGAAAAGCTCTTCCAGTACTACTGCATGACAATACCTGTGTATATCAAAAGTGTATGCAAGAGTTTGATAGCTGTGTTACCTTTGGTTCTACAGCAAGCTCATGAAGCCTTCAAAGTAGCCCAGTCTCTGGAACCTTCTTACCTTATGTGTTGGATTGGGCAGGTAAGATGTGAAAAAACATCAAACTGTGCTTTGTTAAAGAAAAAGAGGATTTGGACTTCCTCACAATTGGTGCTTACGCATGTACCTGTAGGAGTAGAGGAAGCTGCTACTTCCCCTGTGGGTGGATAAGACAACACAGTGGTGTATAGAGGAAATCTATATTCAGCAGTTATCTTCATGTAAATGTTTTTGTGACTGATGTAATTGTAAGATGTATAAGAAACTAGCTATTAAAAAACAATCACTGCTGTTCTCGAAGCTCGTTATCTAGTGCTCTTAAAGTACCATCTTCATAAGGTGGCAGCTATTTCCGTTTTTGCTGTATGACTAGTTCATTAAATGGCACTCCTAACTCTCTTCTCAGCTCCCTTCTCTTCCAGCTTACTGTTAAAAACAGTAAGTCTTTCATGTACAAATTCAGCTCTTACTTCCTGGGAGGTTGCTTTTTCCACCTACCACTGAGGGCTGGATAGGCTCCCACTGGTACTTAGGTCATCTGTGAATATCACAGAATCCTTGTGACTCATGTTTGTGATTGCTGTAGGTGATCCCATGCTGTTGATCTGCTAATAATATCTGATTTGAAGCTGGATGCTAAATAAGGACTAGTGCCATTGTGTGTCAAAACTTCCCATTTTATATCATTGTACTGAGGAATGTGAAGTAGCAGCAAAAGTTCTTGAGTTTCAAATTGCAGTTGAACAGAGACTACTTATTCTACTTTTAAAGTGTTTGGTTTATTCTTAGAACCATAGAATAGCTTGGGTTGGAATGGAGCATAAAACCCACCCAGATCCAGCCTCCTGCTGCGGGCAGGTTGCCACCTGCTAGATCAGGCTGCCCAGGGCCCCATCCAACCTGTCTTAAGCACCTCCAGGGATGGGGCAGGCATACCTTCTCTGGGCAGCTGTGCCAGGGCCTCACTGCTTTCTAAATAAAGAATTTCCTCCTAACATCTAATCTGAATCTTCCCTCTTTTAGTATAAAGAAATTTCTCCTTATCCTATCATAACATTCTGTTGTAGTAAATCCCTCCCCAGTGTTTCAGTAGCTCTGGCTTAGGTACTGAAAGGGTACTGTGAGCTGTCCATGGAACCTTCTGTTCTTCAGGCTGTACAGCACCAACTCTCTCAGACTTCCTTCACAGGAGAAGAGTAGCAGCCCTCTGCGCATCCTTGTGGCCTATCTTTGCACTCACTCCAGCAAGTCCATGCTCCTCATGTGCTAGGGGTCCCAGATTTGAATGCAGTGCTGTAGGTGGGGTCTCATGAGATTGGGGTGGAGTTTCTTTGGCAGCATAAGAAAATAAAATATTTTCATGTTAAATACCTAGGGTATGGCTGAAAATAATCTGTGTTGAGTTTCTTCTCATTTTGAAGTACCTGACTGTAACAACTTATGTTTCTCTGAAGGCTCTTGTTGCAGAGGCAGTAGGCAGCTTTGATGCTATGGATCTCTTCAGGCACACAACTGAACTTGCTATGCATGTAAGTATAGCAGATAGGTACTTAATGTTTAGTCTCTCTATTTATATAACCTAACTTTTAAAGAACAGTTGTATCTTCAGCAGTGGAACAGCTAGGCTCCTTTTCCAAATGAGATTGCCTGAATTCACTGTTGCTGTTCTGGACCCACTGAATAGCAGGCGCTCATTTTATTGAATGCTTTAGTCTCAGTAGACAAAATAGCTTTCTTCATAAGTTGAGAAAAAACGTTGTGATGTTCTATAAATTGGACAAAGGCATAAACTGAAGACATAAACAGGAAAGAGCAAGGATACTGCTGTAATCCTGGATTCTAAGGAAGCAGAAGACTTTAGATTCTCTTAGAACTTTTCTCATTTGTGATTTCTGCATGAGTGCCATCAGTGATATGATAATGTGAGAATTCTTTCTGCCTAAAGGACTGAGTGTTTGCAGCATATCAGATTAGTGTTTTATTCTCCTGCTTAACTATGATTCAGATTTTTATCCTAGACTCTGCCTTAAAACAGAGAATTATTACCGTCTCTAAGTATTTCAGTGTTATTTGGGCAGATTTAATGATCCTTAATTTACATTTTTTTTGTTTGTTTTTAATTATTTCCTGAGACTGAGGGAGCGAAAGGCTATGCCCACTGGGTATGTTCAACTCTGCAAGATAAAAGCAACAGAGATACTGAGCAGTATCAGTACAACATTGTTGAAATGAATGCTATTCCAGCAGCCCAAGTGGTTATGAGCAAGTATACAGGTAGGTAGCTGAAATACCTCATTGAATTGCAAGCCTGACTAAGTGATGTCTCTACTGGGTTTGGCAAAGACTGTTTAGACCAGACTGGGGAAAGGCTTTTGTGTTGTAAAATAAGCAGACAAAGTAGAATAAAGGGACTTTTTTATTAATTGATTATTATTGTTATCACACTGGATGAAATAGGTATGAACGGATACCTGGTGTAGGGAACCTGCTTTGGCAGAGGGGTTGGACTCGATGATCTCTGGAGGTCCCTTCCAACCCCTACAATTCTGTGAATTCTGTCATTCTACCAGACTTCATTTCAGATGCTGAGCAAAGTAAGAAACTGTGCCTTGTTATGTCTGCCACTTGGTGTCTGATATCAGACATCCTTTGAGTATATCTGTATGGCACAAATAAATGCTAGCTTTTCTGCCTGTGTTCCATGTGTTTGAGCATAAGGCTGTTTTTGGATTTTGCTCACCTTCACAATATAAAGCACACAGTAGTATTAAACTTCAGTAAGAGAAAAAACATTTTCTTGAGCATGGTTCCTAGTCACTGTGGCCTTTATGCAGTCGTAGGCTTGTATATATCTAGCCCAGAAGATGAATAGAGCAAGTGTGGATTTTCTTTAAACTAGTTTCTTGATCTTGTAATCCGTTGCTATTTTTTTTTTTTTTTTTTTAAGAGCTACAAAATAAGTTGCAAGCATTTAAAATAAGAAATGTAAGGAGATATTTATCTGTAAAATATACAGATTGCAGGAAGGGTCTATGTTCCCCTTTCTGGTCTGAGGTGAGATGGCAGGTAACTTTAGCAGTTGATGTGCATTTCAAAGCTATAATATTGAAAAATAGTTGAAAAAAGTAATATTAAAACTAGTAAGGTTCTACTAGCATTTTACTAGAGTCAGTACAGACAGAACAGTTCCATCTTTCGTTACAAAAAAAAAAAAGCCTCATAACTCCTAACCACTGCAAGCCAAAAAACTTAGAATTCAGTGTGTCAGTACTTTGTCGTAAGATTTGAAACATTTTCGAGCTAGCCTGATGTCATGTTGCTGTCTTAGTATTTGCTTGCAGCCTGTCTAGCTGATTCCAGTGAGGAGTTGACAGAAGCACTTGGCAAAGTGCTTTTTTATACATGCATACACTGTAGCATCAATGTAGCAATGTTTTTCTAATGCTTTTTCACAACTCTTTCTGATTATGTTCTCTAAGTTGTAAATTCTGATTTTCTAGAAAGAAATCCAGATGATGCATCTGCTTTCACAATGCTTGGTTATTTGAATGACTATCTGGAACTAAAAAGACAGGCAAAAGATGCTTATGAAAGGTAAATTATACATGCTGGAATGCTTACTGACAGAAGTTCCTTGTCCTCATTTTCTGTGCACCAGCTGAAAAGCTTAAGGTTTATCTTTTCCTGCAGTAAGCCTTATATTCTCAGTTAAGCAGTACATTTCAACTAATTGTACTATACATAGTGTGTGGGAATTTTCTTATGCAAGTTTGGAAATGCAGAACACAAGTAACAGGGGAAGTAAAGGCATTCCACAGCTACACTCAGCTAGTTCACTGTGTGGGAGTTAAGTGAAGCTTCAGGATTTGTTTTTTTGGTTCTTGGTGTTCTTTTTAAAGTTTGATTCTCTATAGTAATTAATATACTTTTTTTTCTTGGTATGAAGTAGAGGAATGATAGAGGGAGGTGATGGAGGAAAATACATGTTTGGAGGGCATGTTTACCAATACATTAAACTTTGCAGAAGTAGCTCTATTTATGTTTTCTGTGTTTATGCATAGAAGGATTTTTGCATAAAAAAACTTGTCTATTCTACTATGAGAATTAATGTAAAAATATGTTAATTATTCTCAATTGTGATCACTTTAAGGGCTGCTACATTATTAAAAAACTGTGAGGATACTGAGAAATATAACACAGCAATGCAAAACTATGGCAGATCTCTGTGGTAAGTGTCTATTGATATATTATCCCAGCCCCTAACTTCGGATGTAGTGAATGTAGTGGTGTAAAACTTAGTTAAGGCTCAGGGGTGAAAGTTAGCGATAGAAAATTTATTAAATGTCATTCTTTGGAGCCAGACTTATCATAGAATCATCAAGGTTGGTAATGACCTCTAAGGACATTCAGACCAACCATCCACCTATCACCAGTATTTCCCACTGAACCATGTCCCTCAGTACAACATCTAAATGTTTCTTGAACACCTGCAGGGACTAGGCAGCCCATTCCACCACCTGACTGCTCTCTCAGAGAAGAAGTATTTCCTGATGTCGAACCTGTATCTCCCCTGGCACAATTTGAGGCAATTTCTTCCAGTCCTCTCATTACTCACATGAGAGAAGAGGCTGACCCTCACCTCCTTTCAGGTAGTTGTAGAGAGCAATAAGGTCTCTTCTGAGTTTTCTCCAGACTGAACAATCTCAGCTCCCTCAAGCCTCTCCTCGTAAGACTCCTCAGCTGCTCCAGACCTCTCATAGCTTCATTGCTTTTCTCTGGACACACTCCAAGGCCTCAGTATCATTTTGTAGTGAGGAGCCCTATACTGAACACAGTACTCAAGGTGCAGCCTCACCAGGGCTGAGAATAGAGGGATGATCACTTCCCTGCCCCTGCTGGCAACACTGTTTCAGATACAAACCAGGTTGCTATTGGCCTTCTTGGCCATCTGGACATGGCTCATATTCAGCCTGGCATTAACCAGTACCCCCAGGTCCATTTCCTATACAGAGTCTCACAGTCACTCTGCTCCAAGCCTGTAGCATTGGCTGGGGTTGTGGCCAAAGTGCAGGACCTTGCACTTGGACTTTCTGAACTTCATCCCATTGGCCTCACCCAACGATCTAGCCTGTTCAGATCTTTCTGTAGGGTCTTTCTACCCCAAGGCAGATTGATACCTCCTGACAGGTTGGTGTAGTCTGAAAAACTCACCGAGGATACACTCATTGCCCTCATCCAGGTCATCAGTAAAGATACTGAACAGGTCAGGCCCCAGTACCAACCCCTGAGGAACACCACTTGTGACCTGTCGCCAGCTGGACATGACTGCACTTATCACTAGTCTCTGGGCCCAGCCCTGCAGACAGTTCTTTACCCAGCAAAGAGCGTACCTGTCCAAGCCATGGGCTGCCAGCTTCTCCAATAGAATACTGTGGGAGACTAGGTAGGCTATGTCAGTGGCCTTTCCCTCATGCATCAGGCGGGTTACTTGGTCATAGAAGGAGATCATGTTGGTCAAGCAGGACCTGCCTTTCATGAACCCATGCTGGCTAGGCCTGATCACCTGGTTGTCCCACATGTCCTGTGTGATCTCCCTCAAGATGGTCTGTTCCATAACTTCTTGGCACCGAGGTCAAGCTGACAAGCCTGTAGTTCCCCAGATCCTCTTTACAGACCTTCTTGTAGATGGGTCACATTGGCAAGTTTCTAGTCCTCTGGGACCAGGAATGCTTATAGATGATGGAAAGCAGCTTGGCAACCACCTCCGCTAGCTCTCTCAGTACCCTAGGGTGCATCCCACCCACCCCCCTGGACTTGTGGCAGTCCGGGTGAAGCAGTAGGTCTCTGACAGTTTCCACATGTAAACAGAGTATTCAACTGTATGGACATCTTCTCTCAACCGTAGCACTGTTGCTACATCCTTCCTATTAATGATGGTTTTTGTTTTTTTTTACAGTGCCATTGGTGAGTGTGATAAAGCCATTGAGGTTTATACATCAATACCGCTTACTGAGTTTGATGCCATTGTGGGGATAGCACTAGCCTACTTCAAGAAAGGACTCTTAAAAGAAAGTATTCAAGGTGAGCATATTCCTAATTCAAAGCACTACTGGGCAGTTCTTAAGATGACTCTTACCCAGATTTGTTCATCTAACCAAGGTAACTGTAGTTCAGATTATTTCAGTCTTTCAGTATACATGTGGGTAGCTATTTCATCATTCATCTATTCATAAAAGTGCTAGAACTATTCAAATCTAAGGAAAGCTACATTTCTTTGAGAGTTTCGTTCTTGTCTGTTCAGCTTTTGTATTCTTAGCTTTCCTTGCTATCATGAAATGGCTTTTCTGGAAAAATTGCTCTTGGGTAGGAGATTAATGTGATGTTCAAAGCACTTCAGCTTTAGTGATTAATGTAAGTGCTATGTTGTCATGTTCTGTGTTACTGAGATGGGAGACTGACAGAAAGGTGTGAGTAAAAATTGTCACCGTAGAAGCCTAAGCACTCACAGTACAACAGCTGGCTCAACATTTGAAATAACCCTATTTTTAATGGGAGTTGTGCGTGTTTGTCTGAAACATTATTTCATAAGTATGTTATCACATGGAAATCTTTATTTTCATTTCACTTTCTAGATATCCCAATACTACTTGCCAGACTGGTTTACACTTGGCACAACTATGTAGGCTGTAAACGTTCCTACAAATCAGACATTTCCTAGCATATAGCTGCTTCCTAAGGTCTTAGTCAAACTTTCTTTTGTCTTTTACAATATGATTTCAGGTGTGAAAACGTAGTGAACCTGAAACAGTAGTAATATTATACTACTGTGGTACCTTTCCTGAGGCCTTATAAACATGAGGTTTTTCTTTTCCCACCTACTTCAATTCTGAATCTTTATTTATTTTTCACTAGCCTATGAGAAAGCCTTGTCTGTTGCGGAATCTGAACAAGATAAAACACATATCCTGACTGCCTTGGCAATAATAGAGTATAAACGAAACAAAGTGGATGCTGCAAAGACACTGCTGTTTAAATGGTGAGTGGAGGGAATGCAATGTTCCATTGTCCTACTTAATTTTCAGTTAATTCCTGAAGGGTGTCTCTCAAATGAATGCTGCCAGCTGCAGCAATAGATACCCAGAGCTAGGAAAGGGAACAGAGGACAGTGGGAGAAAAATGTCATTCATTGTATCCAGTATTCCCCAATAAATGCGAGAATACTATTGTTATAAGGTTAAGCTGCCTCTTGTAATTGAGTGTGGAATAGTGGAATTGGCTCTGGTATTATAACTAACAGATGGTGGAAACTATATACAAACTACCTGAAGTTGGAATATAGACAGAAGTTGGTATAGACTTCTGTCTATACCAACTTCATTTGGGGAGGAATAATTGCATGCATGGGTATAGGTTGGAGGATGACCTTCTGAGAGAGGAGCTCTGCGGAGAGGGACCTGGGTGTCCTGGTGGACGACAGGTTGGCCATGACCCAGCAGTGTGCCCTCATGGCCAATAAGGTCAGTGGCATTCTGGGATGCATTAAAAAGAGCGTGGCCAGCAGGTTGAGGGAGGTGATCCTCCCCCTCTACTCTGCCCTGGTAAGGCCTCATCTGGAGTACTGTGTACAGTTCTGGGCTTCCCAGTACAAAAAAAGAGAGGGATCTCTTGGAAAGAGTCCAGCAGAGGGCCACAAAGATGGTGAGGGGCCTGGAGCATCTCTTCTATGAGGAAAGGCTGAGTGAACTGGGTCTGTTCAGCCTTGAGAAAGGAAGACTGAGAGGGGACCTGATCCAGGTCTACAAATATCTAAGGTATGGGGGACAGAGTGGCGAGGCCGGACTCTTTTCAGCAGTGTTTGGAGACATGACAAGGGGAAACAGCCAGAAACTGCAGCATAGGAAGTTCTGCACAAATGTGTGCAAGAACTTCTTTATGGTGAGGTGACGGAGCACTGGAACAGGCTGCCCAGGGAGGTGGTGGAGTCTCCTTCTCTGGAGATGTTCAAGACCCGACTGGACACCCACTTGTGTGACATGGTGTAGGGAACCTGCTTTGGCAGGGGGGTTGGACTCGATGATCTCTGGAGGTCCTTTCCGACCCCTACAAGTCTGTGATTCTGTGGTAGGCAGTATTTAATCACTCAGAACAGCCTAATTCTGAGGCTGAAAGAGCAGTTCTTCTCAGCAGCCCTGTTTCTGGCTTTTATTCTTCCTGGATTTCTGTTGCAAAGTTGGAAACAGGCACAGTGTTACTGATGTCTGACTTGATTTAGAAGTGCAGGTATGTTCAAGGAAAGCAAGCAATTTTCTGCATTACGCATTGTACCTTGCCATTTATTTTATGGCTGCTAATGAAAAGCAGTAAATGTATTGGGAGTCTTTCCAAGTAGTTCCAGTTTTGAGATGGTACATAACCACTGCAGCATTCCATATCCTGAGGTCTCAAGTCTACAGTTCTAAGCCTGATCCAAAATCCCATAATGATAGTCTGCTAAGTCAGCATATTGTAGATGATGTGTTGAAGAAAGAGGACTCAAAATATTGTAATATTAAATGTGAGTTTAATTTGTTCGCCAAAATAATGTCTCCTTTCTCCCAAAATGATGTCTCCTTTCTCCCTCTGATTCAACAGCTCATTAAAGGAACCTAGTACCGAAAGTCTGAAGGCTTTGTGCACACTAGGACTGGTAAAGCAGGATGTTACGCTTGCAACAGCAGCCCTAAAGGAGTTACTGAAACATGAGAAAGGGAGTGATGGGATTTATGAAAGGTGCCTTATTGCATCTGCTGTTTATGCACTACAAGGCAGAAACCTGGGGATCCAGAGAGAAGTCTCCAAAGCAATACACAGGTGTGTATTGTGTTACTGTTCTAGATTTCATTATAAATTTCTTGCAGCATTCTTTTTTTAAAAAAAGGTAAAAATAAAATCAAGCATGAAGATCGTTATGATTTTTGGAATCAGTGGGAAGAAATCTATTGTCTCTGATCTATGGGATCAATTGGCAAAATTTTCATGGCTTTTAAGTATTTTTCTGTTTTTCTATTGGTGACTTCTTAGATCTGTTCATTATACACACCAGAGCTTTCAACTTAAAGATCTTCAGGACGTTTATTTAGTATCAAACAACCTCTGAAGCAGTTCATTCTGTTAGCTAAATGCCAATATTTAAATGTGTTTTGAGTAACCTATGTGTTATAGGGAGTGGAAGTTTTAATCAGCGCCTTTAGCAAGCCACATCATACCCTCCTTCCACATGTTTTCAGAAAGAGTGCATTTCTCAAAATTGCATTTAAAGTTCCTTGCTCCTCAGACTATGAGGGCAAGACCTGGAGTCCTAGAGTTTGCCTTTTTTCTTCCTGTGATTATTGATATATATATATATATATATATATATATATATATATATATATATATATATAAATACAAAAAAAAAAAATACATAAACATATATGTATCTTTCACCTTATTTATTTAGGCAGTGATATAACTTCAGTGTTGTGTTGATTGTTTTCAATTATTCGCCATGTCTATTTATAACTGTACTGGGTTCTCTTTCTAATAGAAGATCCATCTGCTATTTATAGAAACTGGCTACAAGAGTTATGAAGGACCAGATACATTTCTAAACCAAAATGCTTGATATACTTGTTCTTTTTGCAGTTACCCTGGTAATCCTGCTCTTTGGTCTCTTCTGTCTCGACTAGTTCCATTGTATACACCACAGAAGGCAAAAGTAAGGGCATTGTTTTAAGAACTGCTTGCATCCTGAGTATAGTGTCTGTGTTGTTTCTTAACTGAAAATAAAAACTGATACCATGCTTTAGTATGTGCATGTTCACTATTTAATATGATTTTTTTATATAAGAAAGTACATTCTGAGTCATATATCCAATTATTTGCGTCCTTCATAGGCCAGTGATTCTTTATATTTTTTATCTTCTTGAAATCTACTAGAAATGTTCCAATAAGCAAAAGCTAGATTATATGTAAATAATTTATTTATATGAGGTTTTAGATATATATGCAAAATTGAGGTGAAAGATTCTATCTGGCTTGAATTTGCTTAGTCCAGTCAGCTTTACTTACTGCATTATGCACTATTTTTTTGCTGCTTTTAGTACTAATAGTACTTACTATTAGCTCTTCTCCAAATAGAGACTCCAAATACATACTCTAAAAAGTACAGATAAATGTATGGAAATCGTTTCTATATGTAGCTGAAATTTTAAGAAGTTGTGGATATGTTCAGATCTTGAATGTCTCTTCGTAATTGTTTGCGAGAGATTTTTAGTGTTTTCCTTTCCTACAGAACAAACTACATTATGCAAAGTTTGTATATCTGGTTAATATATATTGGGGAAAAAAAAAAAAAAGATTTGCCTTACATTTTTTGTAAAATCTGTGAATTAGTCATATAGCCAATTCTTTTTTTTAATCTTACAGGGGGGAGCTGTGGCAGGAAACATTGCACATGCGCTTGATTTAAGACATGGAAAGGTTTGACTCACTCTTAACTTGTAGATTTTTACAATTTCTTAAACAACCCTTAAGTGAATTCCATCTAATCATTTAGATTACAGTGCTGTCATTTGTCTTCTATTTTATAGGATGTCCTACTGAATGTTGCAGTTAATCAATTGGCAGCAGGATGTCACATGTTAGAAGATGAAAGAAACAATCCTCTAAAAAATATTCAGAAGGCAATACTCATCTGTCCCGGTACACAAATGCATTAGTGATATTTTACTGATCAGACACAAAACTGTTGTGATAATGAAATACCTGCTTTTGTTTGATTGTTGTTATTTCTCTTTGTCCATATTTATTTTTGGGAGAATGTCTAAAAACGGAAATTTAAACTTCTGATGCAAGTTTAGTCTTTGTGAATTCAATCAGATAAGGAAAAAAATCCCTGAGTTTTAAGAATTAATCTGAAAACCTGGGCAATTTATTACTCCCACAATGGAAGAAAAGTATTATTTTGTATGTGAGATAAAAAGGAAAATCACATTTTCCCACAGTGTTAGTATGTCACACTAAGCAGAAGAGATTTATTCGTCTAGCTTGAGAACTTGGATATTTTCTATTACATCATGCTGGTTATGAACTGTAGGCAGCTGTTCACCTATTGTTAAGTGGCCATCTTCAATATGTTTATAAGGTGGTGGGCTTTCAGGATACTGCAAAGAGTATCTCTTGGAAATGATAATAATACATAAGACACACAGTACACATCAGTGTGGCCTCAAGTTAAAAAAAAAAAAACAATAAAATTACTTTCCCCCAGGTATACTCAAGACTATTATGGCTATTCATAGGCATTATACTTTGCTTTTTACTTTAGTAAAGTTGTCTTTTTTTTTCCTTGACAAAATTAATCATTTCTGGGCTGAAAACTTAGCTGAATTTCATAGTTAATCTCTGTCTGATTCAGTACATAGGCTGAACTCTACTAGTCAAACAAAGGTGCTCTTTACTGGGCTAAGTCAGAGTAATGCAGAATTAGCTGACCCAAAAAGTAGGAACATATGGCAATCACAGATAGGTTAACTTGCATGCCAGTGGCTGAACTGTATAAAGTCCACATGACTAAAAGCTGAAGAAAATATCTTGGGATTTTTCCTGCCACATTATTTAGCATTAGAAGGTACTCAGGTTTAGTCTGTGTAGTTGGAATCAAGCTGGCATACCAAAGTTTATACAAAAAATGTATTAGTTGGTTTTAGAAACCACGTTTCTGTCTTAAGCTTTGAGGAAGCTCATTTGTTAGAGGCAAATACTTTTCTGCTGCCTTGGGCTGAGCTGCTGTAAGTATCTGATTGCAGAAATTCAATTGCCTTCTTGTTACCTCTTACTTAATAGTGTACCATTTCATTGATGGCTGCGTCTTTATGCTTAATCTGGAAAAGACCATTGTAAATGGACTGCCAGACATCTAGAATGGGCATGAGTTGCTTGTAAACATTGTTTTCTTCTAGATAACCCTTCTGCCTGGACAGTGCTAATGGCAGCCTGTCATGCTGAAAACACTGTTGGCTGTCTTAACAACACTCAACCAAAGCGAACAGATCTAGAGATGACACTTGTATCTACAATTTCAGCCAAAAGTAAGATATAAAACGTTACATTAAAAGAAAATGAAATAAAATGGCAATGTTCTAAGCTTGTAATACTGTTACAAATTTCAGAAGCCTGTTTATGAGAATTGCTTAGTAATAATTTGATCTCATAAAAATCCACATCCTAGTGCAGAAGTTGGGTTAATTATTTAATTGTAGCTTGTGTTTCCACCCAGAGCCTCAGATGCATTTTTTAAATAGCACTTCTTTATTCTGATACCTAAACGAGTAAATCATCATATTATAAGGGGGCACTGCTGACAAGAAAAGGCTAAAGTGCTCCATAACTTCTCCTGTAAATAACTCACCTTTATCAATAGGTGTGCATTGTGTGATGTCTGTGGCATTTTGAAATGCAGAATTAAAATTCATTGTTTGATCAGTTATTCTCAGACTATTAACTCAAATAGTGGATTACTTTTTCTGTCTTCTTGTTTTTAATCTTGTCATCTCTTCATGTTCCTACTAATGAAAAAAGCCACGTCACACTGATACGCCAAAAAAAGTTCTTACTTGCCAGGTCTGGAGTATGTAACATGGTGTGTCACTACAGCATACACAGTTATCTAGTGTTAGTATTTTATCTTCTTTTGCAGCTGGAGAAAATGACCTTCCTCATAATTACATCCAAACTCTTGAAGACTGGTCTCTTTGTCAAGCTATCACCAGTCTAGAGGAGAATGGTAGAATCTCAGAAGCTGAAGCACTTTGTACCAAGGTATGACAACAGCATATGGGCAGAATTCTATGGAAATTTTGTGTACATTTCAGGAACTTGGATGTTTTCCTAAATATTGGATTATTTAGGAATAATCTTTAATGTAGCAACTGTTTGTTCTGGCAGAGCTACAACTTGCAGTAGTTGTTGGCATATCATGCTACCACCACTACCAAAATACTGACTCTGTCTGCAACACTGTAACTTTCTGAACAGTTTAAGCAAGCAGTGTAATGCATCACAAGACTTCTTCTTTTCTTGCTTTTTTATATTAACCTAGAGTTAAGCAAAGCATTACAGAAATTTGAGGCAAGAAATCCTGGCAGGGGGACTTCCAGGGGACTTAACCACCTTTGGGTCTGTTGCAGTGATACCTATTTCAGATCTACAAGTGGAAGCCACAGATTTGATCGTTAAAAGGAAACGTCTTGATGCAACACATTTGGGAAACCGGACTGTAGTGTTGATATGCTTCAAGTGCGTGTGTTTGGTTGTCTACATAAACAAAAGGCTAAGCAAAAGATAAGCAAAGTAGCAGTTGTATGCACCCTTGACTTTCAAGTAGGAAATTGGCAAACCCTAGGCAGATGTGCTCCTTGCCTAAGGTGTTTGTATATTAGCTGAAATGAACTAAATCTTAAAGATGAGATTAAGCAAACATGCTAGTTATTTTGGGGAAGGTACTTTCCTGTCTCTTGGTTTGCTTGGGGGAAGGGATGTTTCCCATTTCTGATGACCTGTCTTACATTAGAAAGTACTGGAGACTTCTGCAAATACAAGCTGCTATCTGGAGCAGGGAGGGATTATGGTGTTGTTTGCTTGCTTTTTTTTTTTTTTTTTTTCATTAGTTACATAGTCTGGATAAAGGAGTCAGTTCCCACAACTTGTGCAGAAACCAGAATAAAAGTGTCTGTTACAACTAACTCTCACTGAGAGTTATGGAACTTAAGATTCCCAGTTGTTGTAACTGGCAATGATGGGTCAGATCCTGCACTCCTTGAATTCCACACTTGCTAACAGGGAAGATTAGCACAAATGCCAACAGCTTCTATTCTCTTTCATTAAGTCTCTGCATACACGTGCATTGTTCAAAGATAAAGCTTATTAAGGACTTGCTGTTTACACATTTTGCATTTCTTAAAAATGGGTGAAATGCGCAAACACTGTTTCTTAGAACAGATCTGGTTTGAGTTAGGATTTTTGGATATGTCATGACTTAAACAGGTAGAAATAACACATGATGTTACTTGGGGAATTTTCTTTCTCGTGAGATGGATAAAGCAGCAGTTTTCTGTCATTCTTTAATGTGATTTTTTTTTACAGGAAATGCTTAGTTAACTTCTATTCCAGTATGCTCACTGAGAGAACTGAAACTGCTTGGATCATTCTTCAGATAATCATTGTAGGTTTTTTGGGGTGGCTTTCTTTTTTTTTTTTTTCCTCACTCTTGTAAAAACTGACAACCAGAAGACAGCCATTTATCTGTCTTTCAGAAATCTTTGGTGGTAGGACAGGCACAAAATTTAAGATGGATAGGAGAGAAAGAAAAATATTACCGATTTCCATATGTCAATTTCTGGAACACTTCATTGTGCAGAGCAGGGAGAGATGCCATCTTGCAAGCACTCTGAGTATGTTTGCACTGCTATTTTCCATAAAGATCCAATGGGGAAAAAGAACAGTATCCTTCGGGATTTGTAATTGACAATTCTGATATAATGTGGTTTTAGGGTTTAAAGAACTGCCCCGAGCACCCAGCTCTGTTTTTGCTTCTGAGACAAATTCAATGTAAGCAACTGTTACAGTCTCACAAAGAGCTTCCAGATACCATCCTGAAGGAGCTTCACAAAACAGTCATGACCAGTTCATCTTCCATTGCAGCCTGGCAAGTAAGTGTGTATTCTTTCTCTAATTGTGGTATAGCACCAGTTACAGTGAGTTCTGAGCAGAGAATATCTGCTGTATGAAAATTTTTCACTGACTGCCTTTATTTGTCCACTCACAGCAAATGACAGACATCAGCTAATTTTCAGTTCTTCATAAAACTGTAATATTCTGTTAATTTTCTTTTAATTTGTGAAATAATAATTGTTTGTAAAGTCAAGCAGATGTGGACGTAGAAATAACAATTAGAGATTAAAACCTGGCACCTGCATCTTTAGGGTTATATGACTTGGCAGTGTGATGTGAGTTGAAACAGAAAAATATGTATATAATCTTTATATCCCATAAGAAAAGGTGGAGGTAAGTTGTGTACAATTCCTTATTCAGGATATGAAATCCTGAATAAATCTCTTCTATGTTTCATAATTTTCTGACATCAAGTGTCACCATTCTTTTCCCTTGGGACTGGGAAAAGTCCCAGTTTGGGACTGGGGAAAAGAAGAATCCTTCTCAGTAGTAGTGTTCAGAAGATAATTTTTTAGTTAAAATGAAGAGGCTGTAATTTGGTTTGTGTATGGTGAGACAATCTGAGGAACTGGCTCAGGCATGTCAGTACATCTTTCTGGTGATGCAGCGTGTGTGTGTGTGTGTATATATATATATATATATATATAATTTTTATTTTTTAACTGCTGCTTTTAGTTACAGTTACTGGCTTCCTTTACAAATGTTAGCGTGTTTAGAAAAATTCTGCAAACTTCCAGTGTTCTTCATGTAGTTGAAGGAAATACAGTGCTCCCTTTGCCTGCTGACCACATAAATATCTCTTTCCAGCAAGTTTCTCTTAAAGGTGATTTCAGTCCTAAAAGATGAGAGAGATTGCTATAAATATCAGTAGTTATGTCCATTGTTACAAGGCTGCAGGTTGTCTTCTCTTTTGGAACGGTGAAGTATAGAAGTAATACAGAAGTAATATTTCTGGAACAGTGCTTTTTTGGGTATGTCTTTCATGGAATCATAAGATTTCATGTTCCTGAACTGCAGAACTCATTCAGGCTGCTGGATTTGTAAAACGTGGGGATATTTGAGCCATGATTCTAACCTCAACTAATTTAATAATAATTAATGGAAGATGGAATTAAATCTTATATGTTCTTCATGCATCTGTTGCATAACCAAGTGCCATCTGCTTACAGACAGGGAAAGGGAATGAACTAAAAGAATGTGGGTTTTATTTTGTTTTAGTTTAGGCCATAGATAAGATGCCTCTGGATAAAATCTCTTCAGTCTTTGGTCAGAAAAGATACTTATCAGGGCTTTGGTAATGATCTGGAAAAGCTTCTTGGCTGCTACAGCTGTTCCTAATGAATAATAGCTCTTTGTTTTGCGTTTCCAGACTTCCTAAAAGTTTGATAGATGTTTTTTCTTACTAAAAAGCATATGTCATGATACCTTAGAGTTTCACTTAATTACAATGGCAGTTAGCATAGCTTTTTGCTATTAAGTTTTTGGAGCATGTCTGAAATTTTCAACAGGATTTAGGAGTTCTGCTGACTGTTCTGCATTTTTGTGCTGTGACTCACCAGGGAGACAATAAAATTGTGCACCTGTATGGATGTCCTGTTGTACAAATCAGTCTTGCAGCTTGATGTTAAGATGCACAGTCTCATTGGTACTGAAAGAAGGGGCATGCTGGAATGTCTATTCACAGATGGCCTCAGTGCATCAGAAAAGCTCAAGAATCTTGTCCTTTCTTACTCTAGGCAGTTGTTAGCTAGAAAAAGTCTTGTTTTTTTAAAGGGAATTACCTTGCTTTAAAACAAAGAAGTTGCTTTGGTTGCTTGGAGATCCAGCAAATAATACGTCTAAACGCTTAGGCATTTTGGTGCTTATCATGCACATTTCAGGAATTTGCAAACCTGTGGCTGTATCTCCTTTTAAGAATGTGATATGGCTACACAATTAAAGAGGGAGAAGTTAGAATCCTTTTCCTTCAATTTGTGGGTGAATTCGGAGCTGATGGAGCTTGTAGCAGGAGCAAGAAACTCTCCTCAGGACCCATGATCTACTTTTTGTCCCACATAGCTCTTCCACGTGATTGTGGTGTGTAATGAAAATGTAGCCCAAGTTATGCACTCCTCACTGAGCTGAGACTCACATGGGAAGATCTTTCATGTTCCTGAAAATGCTCACTTGTGTGGAAAAAACTTTGTTCCAGGGGAAGAGCTCTTTTCCCCTCTTCATAACTCTTAGCAACAAGTGAGGCACCACATAATGCTCTTCTGGTCTGGAGAATGACTTTCACAATGCCAGTTGTAATATCTATTCACTTATGAGCAATCTGCAGATTAAAACAGCTCTCGGACAATTGGATGGGTGTCAACTAAACTATGAAATACGTTGCTGTGATGAGATGTACTTCTGGCTGTGCAATCAGTGGAATACATTTTCCTGCAGGACAATGCATTATGTTGTTGGAGTGAGGGTAGGGTGGGTGGTGATGTTTTAGCCAATAACTATACCATAGAACTCTTAACAAATTTAACTAAATTATATCATCTGAAGGGATGTGTGTTTTGTTGGTTCCATAACTGATTTTGTTGTCTATTTTCAGTGGCTGGCAAAAGTGTATCAGTCTCAAGGAATGATGGTTGGAGCAGAGATGTGTTACAGAAGGAGCTTGCAGTTGGCATCACAGCAGGGCAGCTGGAGTGGGAAGTTATCCAGCCTGCTCAGACTGGCTATGCTTGCACTGGAAATCTGCATGGTAAGATAATCAAAATTATATAACTTCATGATGTAACAGGAGTCCATGTAATGTTGGGCTTCTGCAGTCTTTCTCTGAAATTCCTGCTTAAATGACTGTGCATTTTATGAATGACAAATTGATTAGTGAATAAAACAGGATTTCAAGGGTTTTTTTTTTAGAATGTCCTTTTGTAAGTGGTTGCTGTGAAATGATCATGTAGAATCACTGTATACATAAAAAGGATAACTTGTTTGATAAGCATTGTTCCTCTAATTGATTCAGTTTGATCATCAAAATTGCAGTGTCCTTCAAGTCTCTGTCCCCTTGCTCAGATTACTGTCTTTAATAAATGTTTTGCCTATACTGCTATCTGGAAGCTTCAGTCAGGTTTCAAGTAACTCAAATTCTTGGAAAGGATCTGTTCTCTTTAGGCACTCTTACTCTAGAAATTGGAAGTGCTCTGGTGGGCTTCTTTAAAGGTGATAATAAGAGGTAGATATTGGTCAATCCTGGTTTACTCTTTGACATGTATTTTAAGAGGCTGCCAAGCCAGCAGGTACATCCAAATTCAGGCAAATGAACTCCACACATCATAAGTGCTAATATAAGAAAGATAGTCAGTGCTACTGAGGTTAAACTGCAAAACTTGCTTCTTGTAGGGGGAAAAAAAAAAAAGAATCCCCTCAGTGAAGACAAATTCACATTCTGTGTGCTTCAAATAGCAGAATTCATCAAGTGACAGGATTATTTCCTTCCATGATTTTTCCCAGTAGTCATTTTCCCAGAAGTACGCATTGAATTTCTTAAATATCCTCAGTATCTGCACAGCTCTCAAGGTACTCTTTAACTGAGTTAATACTATTTCTTCAGATGGTGGCCTGAATTACATAAGGCTATTTGACTTTGTTTTAAAAATAGAATAAATATAATTATCTTCTTTCTGCTTTTGAACAGAAACAGTTATGAACAGGACAGTTTATACATGGATTTCTGTTAGGCCTTTGATTAGCTCTGACTTAATTAATTAATATGCAAAAGGCTGGTCAAAACCTTGGCACCCCTTGAAGCAAAACATTGTGTCTACTGTCCAAACAATAGCAAGGTTATGTTCTAACTTGTCACTCCAAAAGTAATGCCTCCTACTTATTTTCTCTGCAACAGCTGCAAAGGGCACAACAGCACTCTGATAGAGCAAATTCTCAGCTACACAACACTCTTTATTTTAGAATAGTCATCACCATTAGCTATGTGTTTTTGCCAGTGATGAACAAGAGCCAGCATGATGCTCTTATAAAAATCTCCACCAGTGGATGTGACGTGTTGCTGCCACTGCTGAATTGCACCACCCACCACCTCACTGTGCTGACAATGAAATGTGATGGAATATTGGCAGGAAGGCTCAGCTTCTACTACTGCTGTACCACCAACATCTGCCTCTGACGTCATGGGCCAGTGTGACAAAACAGGAGGCATTACTTTCAGAGCAGCCCTCCTAATAACCATTTTGTTGCCTTTATTTTCATAGGCTAATGTCTCAAATGAGCACTGGCCATCCTTGGTTCAGGAGGCAACAACTGAAGCTTTGAAACTCTCTTCCTGTCCCTTGGCAGTTCTCCTGCAAGCGCTTCTACAGTATATTCGCAAAATGGGAGCAAGGTATGCAGTCTGGATCACGTTGTCTAAAAGCATTTACTTGTCAGAATTAAAAATGTCCAAGTGGCCATGATGGTTGTATCTAACTCCTAGACCGAAAAGAAAACTGAAAACAAGAGTTGTTGGAATAGCATGACAGTTAAAAGGGAGAGCAGAGAGAAAGGGTTAGTAGTTAGTAGTGGGGAATAAGAAGCAGCAGAATCTCACTCCTCTTCTGAAAAAAAAATTGTAATCACCTGCATACTGTAAGTACTGGAAGGCAACAATGAGTTCTTCCCAACACCTGGAAAATCAGATTATTTATGAAGGGCAGAACTCGTGAAACAAGAGCCAAAGCTGTTTGCACCACTGAATGAATACCTTATCCTTAAACTTATTTGTGAAGTTTTGCCATATTTCTAATAGCACAGTGAAGTTGGGAAGGGTCTCAATTGGGTAGTAGCTGGCAGTTTTAGAAAGTAGTATCAGATAAATAGATTTGAGACCTTCTGTTACTCTATTCAAACTTTCCTCTCTCCTGCAGTTTCACGTCTTAGTTCTGTGTTTCGGAGAAACTGCTCTGAGTTTTGGATTAAATATGTTTGTATATAATATTCAGTTCTGTTGAATTGTTAAAACTCATCGTAATAAGTGCTGCTTGCTGGAGCAAATGTCTCCTGAAAGATTTATTTTATATAGAAAATATCTGTTGTATTTGAGATCTGAGGTTGTGCTGAGTTCACAGACACCAGCTACAGTTTTTATCTCAGGTGCAGTTCTTTTCATGTTACGTGTAGCAGTTATAAAATGTGCTATTTCGGTCTGTGTAGTTACTAGTTAAAGCAGTAATATGAATATACTAAGTGAAATACTAAGTAAAGTAATGATGGCAATGTTCCTTAGCATTCCAACTGACAAGTAGATTTCCAGATAAAACTATGTAGGAAACAAGCAAACACATTTCTGCTTCCTCGCTGGTATTTCCATAAAGGACTTCCTTTTATATTACTTCTGGTTATTATTGCTTACAGTTGGATATTGGTGTGTTGCACCTAGTTAATGGAATTTTGCAGTTGATGTGGATTGTTTTCCATTATGCTTCTAGAGAGACTCGTCGAATGTTGGAGAGAGTGGTTTACCAACCAGGGAATCCAGAAACCATTGTGTCTGTGGCTCGTTGGTACCTCATGCAACACCTATATGCCAAAGATGATTACGAATTAATAGATGTAAGACAATTCATTCTACATAGAAATGCAATCGATTTTCATTTTATTTTGTGGCTGTAACTTCTAAGAGGAGTAGGGAGAGATTAGGGAAGTGATGACTCTTCTGGCAGAATACAGTATTTAAGGATTCCATGCTGACAAAACATACCTCTGTTTGTATCCAGCTGACTGGAAAGTCTTCAATTCCTACATGTGATACTAAAGAAAATCAAACAGTAAAATCTCTCTGTAACCCAAAATCATAATTTTTGTACTTACGATTTGTATTGTATTTGTGATGATGCATTATTTTTCATTCTTAATAAATGGTGCATGATTTTATGTGCCTAGCACTATACAAATTGATTTGGTCAAATTTGCAAATCCACAAAGTTCTTGAATATGATGGGAGGTGATTCACTTTGGCTTGTAATTAGAATCACTTTGCTACTCAGATTCTGAATATGCAAATAGAAGGTGTGGAAAGTAAATGGAGAAAGGTTAAATTTAAGTGGGGAAGGCGAAAGGAAACCTTGGCAGTTTTAAGGAGATAGAATGCTTCTTTTTGACTAATTTAGGTTTATACAGATGTATTATAAGGAGGAAAGTGTGCAGTGACAGGGAGATAGGTCTCACCTAGACCTGTTGATGTCATTGCCAGCAGGGAACTTTTTTATACTCAGCTTCTAATGACAAATGATGCTGCTGTAGTGCACTGCAAGTGACTACAAGCACAGTAGGAGGCTAGAGTGCTTTTTCTAATTAAATACGTAATGCTTTAAATGAGCTAGTGTGTCACATTCAATATTTCTTATTTCAGTCTGGACTTGCTTGTTACTTAAACTTTTAAGAAAATTGGATAGTAGAAATTAATATGAATAAATTTGAATTAATATGAATTTGATTTCCAGTTAAATACTAACATTAAACGTAAGAAATTCTCAGTGCTCCTTGCTTGATTTTTCTCCAGGTACTTGTAGAAAACGCCAAAGCTAATGGGGATATTAGAGCTCTGGATCTACACAAGAAATTATCAGCAAGTGCCTAGAATGGACTATCTGAAGTGGAACGTCTTCCATTCACGCAACTTAATTGGGCCATCCTTCAGGAGTTCTGTGTGGTCTGGGCTTTTCTGTTTTTTGTCTGGCTTTATTTCTTCTTGTGTCAGCAGAAACTTTTTTTGAGCAAAAGTAGGTTGTTCTTTTGTTGATGTAAGTCCCATCATAAAATACACTTCACTTGAAAGAAAAAAAAAGCTGATTTTTTTTGTTTGTTTGTTTTCTTCTTCTCTGAAGCCTCAGTACTGTTTGCAGTGGAGATTTATCATCTTTCCTTGTTGACCACTCACAAAGAAATACAATGTTGACTGCGTTGGCAGTGATGAAAGCTTGAAGAGGTTTCAGTTTGTTTTTTTTTCCTGTAGCAGTCTTACTAGTTAATTGACAGCAAACTTTTCTTTCCTCCCAGAAATTGTAAAACGTGCAGAAATTTAAAATGTTTTGCATTTGTTTTGCAACCAAGAACCAAATCCACTTAGGATTTCATGTGTGGTGTCATTTTATACACTTCATGTTTTTTGTTAGCTAATCTTTACTGCAGCAGTGTGTCTTGTCCCACCAATGAGGAGGGGGGAGTGAGCAAGATTCACTGAAGGGCTGAATTGCTGTGGAGCATGTTGGTGGGTCATAGAGTTTGGTTACTCTGGTTCGCTTTTCTCATGCAAAAGTCACAGTTATCTGTGAAGTAAGCATGTTTTCTCAGTAGATAATAGTTCTGTTACACATGTCTAGGTTTAAACCCTGGTACCAGAAAATCCCAACAGTTGAATGTCTTGAATCAAAGGTTCACAAATATGGGATATACCATATTTTTGTGGGGTTCCATATGAGTGTTCTGCAACTAATTGTCCATGAACTGTTCAGTAGTGGGGATTACCTCTTGGGGTTGGGAATTTATTTTTGTTCTTTTATTATACTATCTGGATTGGACAAAAAATACTTACGGGACCAAACACTTTCATAACAAGAGAGATCACGGTGAGGTTAGCCACCCCATTCATTAGTAACTTGAATTCATCCACACAGAGATAAAAGAACAGTATATTCATGTTGTAAGGGTTCACAATGAGGTAAGGAATTTTAACAGTGTTTGTGTAAACAAGATTACACAGGATCTCTGTTTCTCAGGGATAGCACTTCTGCTTTCAATACTGCCTTCTTACAAGGCATCTCTGCATTGTGCCCCTCAAATGTCCACTGTTTTCAGGCTGCAAGTGAGGCATTTGTAGTTCACGTGCAGAGCTCTTGCTTCCAACACATAACATACTGTGTCTTTTGAGGTTGTATCAACTAGAAAATAATAGGTAACTAGAGAGGGCATGTAGCAATATAGGTATATTCTGCTATACTCCTGAAATGGGAATGAGTAACCCCCTTCCCTCCCCTCCTCCCCCCAGAGATTTATATTTCTGCATGTATTTTGAATACACTTCTGGTTTAATGTTGCTGTCTTTTGACTTAGATAATATGTGAGAAGTTTAACCAAATAATGGCAAATTTAAGGCCTGCAGCTGTTGAGATGTCTAGACAAAGGCCTTGTTCTGTTTGATTCCAGATTTGGATAAAACCAGTGATAATTGTGCCCATGCCAGGTTGACTGGCTTATTCACATTCCCAGTTTACTGAGATAAGATTATATTCTTACTATGTGGATATATAAACTTCTCCTCTGTGTGCCCATCATCTTCCTCATGGGGTTAATGTGTGCTGCAAATGGTCTTGTAGTCGATCTGTACATGGTTTCAAGGAATCAGGCAGGCTTCAGATTAGGGGATTTGTTCTGTTGGGGTTAGCAATTAAAGATTGCACTGGGGAAGGCAGTTGACAGACTGAGTTTCTATTATGCATTAACTCAAGGCAAGCATCCTTCCACAAACTCTCTCATTTTCTTGAGCTAACCTGCTGTATTTTTCCAGGACTTTAGACATTTTGGCTGCCAAGAATGGCACCATCTAGGCAACCTGCCTGTCCTCATCCGGGCCAATTATCAATGGTCTCCATCTTAATTACTGGCTTTGTTCTTGGGGTAAAGTATTTTAGGCTACTTTCCAATTCCTTAGTTGTGTACAAGGTGCTTAAGCCCGGTTTCTTGATCAGCTGTGCCAACCTTGTAAATGGCAGCTGACTATCCAGAACAGAGTCAAGGTCTGACCGATCAGGAGAGCTTGTCCTTCATCCTCTAATTCAGACTATAACATTTTCTCTCAGTCTGATGTATTGGACAGAGCCATGAGGAGTTGCTGAGTGATACTACATTTGTCAGTTAGCTGGCTTTGCAGGGTTTTCATTTGTTCCTGCAAGAATTTAACCGTTTTATCACTAGTTTCTTTAACTAGGTGCCTCTTCTGTGCCATCACTAGTGCTGCTCCCAGCACAGCATATACGATGGCTTTTCCTTTCCATAGACATGCTTTTCATTCTTTTGTAAATGTTGCAGTCATGTTTGTTACAGCATTTGGATCATACCAACTAACACAGGCTCATGCCATCCCTGATGGGATGGGGCATGCCTTATATTCCTTAAGCTTTTCAACAAGAGGAGAGCAGTCAAGCATCAGCATTTTCCAGGCAGCCATGGGTTGCCACAGAGAAACCTATCTCGGCGTATAGCTTAGAGGTCACTTTCCAGTGCTTCCTCAGTACAGTCATCTCTGGGACCAGTCCCTTATGCAGTATATCCCTCTGACTGTGGGCTGCAGTAAATGTTCTCATCAAGACAAACTTGTGATCGTTGGGGACAGGGTCATATTTATACTGTGCGTAACAGGCTCTATGTCTTGGTGATTCTTATGCTGACTGCTTAATTGAATGAATCATGACGGTGGTTCTTAATACATGATGTTATTTTGCCTTTCTGTACATGACAATAAAAAATAAATCAGTTATTCTAATCTGTTAGTGTTATCACTAGTGATTTTCAAGCTGTTGACATTAGAGTTGTGATACCTGTCCATTCCTGGTTTACAGTTTCTAAAAGCTTCTGCACATCCAGAAGCATCTTATGATGGTTGGCATCTCATGCTAGACACTTCCCAGGCTTGCAGTGCACTGCTGCCATAGTAGGACTGGACTGAAGGCACAGTTGGCTTCAGTACCACTTGCACCTGGCTTAAATAAAGCAGGATGCTGAGCTGTGATGGAGGAAAACCATGGGGCCTATCCACTAGCACATCTTGGCTACCAGCCATGCACAGTGATTGGTAGAAAGTAGGTGCAAGCCACAGGCTATCACTGTCATTTTAAACATTAACACTAGGCTCAGTAGGATGGATTTTCTGTTCTGTGGAGGTGAACACTGAATATCAAGAACCCCTTCTTGTCTCCCATCCATCTCAATACCTTACTTTAAAAAGACTTTTTCTGATAAATTTAGATGGATGGTGGTTGTCTCCACAGCCTGCTGTCACATAGGCCTGAGCTATCAGTAACTGCATATATTAAAAGGGAATGTTGCAGAAGCCAGACTCGTGACTCTCAAGACTAGCTGTAACTTTTTTTAGCCTGCTGCTATTAATAGCCTTGAAAAGTGTGTACAGCCCATAGTTCCTATCCTCGTATATGGCTTTGATATTTATGCCTCCTACTGTAGTGGTGGGAGAACCATCATAGCCAGCTTGGTGACAGCATGCTAAGTGGCTGCCAGTCCTTGTTTTTAGGGCATTAAAGAGAAGTTCTTCCACTTGAGTATTATCCTATGCTTCATTCAGCATCAAACCCTTCAACAGCTAGGACAACAAAGGACCCAGGCTACAGAGGCCAACTTAACTAACCACCAACAGTGAATATTCTGTGTATTTTTTAAAAATGTCCAGTGTTCTCTCTCTTCAGAAGGCCTAGAAGTTAATAACTTTTACTGTGATCAATAATGAACTCCTTGAACACGATAATTACACAGCCCAAAATCATATTATGTACCCTTAGAAAAAAAAACCAAAAACATCTATCTACCACCTACACAGTGAAGAGTCTTGGGATCATGAGTTTAAGTTTCTGTAAAATCAAACAATAACTTGTTCTCATCATTAATGTACAGTCTCTAAAAAATCAGAACTTATAAAATCACTACTGAAAAAAATTGTGAATTCATGCAGGTGGAGACAGCCCTATAATTTATATTATCGTAGAGCTCAGCTTTGGAAATCAAAGTGCTATACAAAGGCACGTGAGCATCACTGAGATGGAGGACTGAGACGTGGTTACGGATTTCACTGACTGGAAAGTTGTACATTTGGTTGTTATCAGTGTAAAATAAAAGGAATAAAAGAAGGGAATAAAAGAAGCTCCGATTATATTTTGTTGTATTATGTTGTCTTACATAAAGCAGAATGGAGTGAGATCTAATAATCTCAAGGTAGAGCATCTGATTACGTCAGATATGAAGGATTTTATGTGCTGCTTACAAGCACGAGAAAACAGCTTCCTTCTGAGAAGTTCATCTAGTTGGGCCATGCATGTTTGTGACCATTCATTCTATTGTCTGTATTTCTCGTGCCCTGGATTTCTGTTCAGATGGTACCATGTAGTGCTGCAATTACACTGATTTAGGTGTTCTTGCCTGACCTTAGACTTTAACAAAGCTACAAGTATTTACTTACGTCTCTCACATAGTTTTGTTTGATACAGAAGTTTGGTTTAGATTAGCACCTTTTATGTCTGAGAAAACATAAATGTTTTAATTCACAGATATAAGACATAGAGATTTTGGAAAGGGTCCAGAGGAGGGCAACTAAGATGATCAGGGGGCTGGAGCACCTCCAGTATGAGGACAGGCTGAGGGAGTTGGGCTTGTTCAGCCTGGAGAAGAGAAGGCTGCGGGGTGACCTCATTGCAGCCTATCAATACCTGAAGGGAACCTACACCCAGGAGGGGAGTAAACTCTTCAAAAGGGCTGATAACAGCAGGACTAGGGGAAATGGTTTTAAGTTGAAGGAGGGAAGATTTAGGTTGGATGTTAGGGGGAAGTTCTTTACAAGGAGAGTGGTTAGGCCCTGGAACGGGCTGCCCAGGGAGGTTGTGGATGCCCCGTCCTTGGACGTGTTTAAGGCCAGGTTGGACGGGGTCCTGGGCAACCTGATCTGAATGTGTATGTTTGGTGGCCCTGCTAGGCAGGGGGGTTGGAACTACATGATCCTTGAGGTCCCTTCCAACCCGGGTGATTCTGTGATTCTGTGATTCTGTGATATAAAATTGGAGAACTATTTTAGTGATTCACAAATCTGACTTTGCAAGGATAATTTACATGCATAATCATTTACATGCATAGCCCATTGGAACTTAGTTCTGAATGTATAGAATCCAACTTTTCTCCCAGACAATAGACAAATTAATTCTTTGTCTATTGAGTTAACTGGACAGCTGACAGTTAAATAACTTTTTAATTTAGTGGGATCATTTCAAGATTTCAAGTCTGATCACAGTGAGCAGTGATAAATATTGACATAACTGCATTACGCAATGAAGTCATTCAAACGGCAGCAATGCTCCAAATATATATTTATGTGTGATCTTACTTCCTAATTGGGCCCTCAAGCCTTTCCAGTATAACCACGCAAACCCGTACTAATATAAAGCAATTTTTGTCTGTGGCCTACTACCACATAGAAAGAATTGATAAATAGGAAATACACTGTAATATTTTTGTCCTTTCCTCTGTCCCAGGGCTAGACTCTGAAAATTGTCCATCTTTTTTTTCTGATTACTTTTGGCACCATATACCTTCAGGAGGGCATTCATCAATAATCTTGCTTTTCCTCTTTTTCTGCTACTCCATAGATAAAGAACATTGGCAGCCATGGTGCTCAGTGGGGAGGCAGATACACCATGTCACATCAACTACTGTTTCACTGGCAGCAAAAACATGGGAAAAAAATGACTGGAGTGGCTAGAACAAGCCAGAGAAAGACAAGCAGTGTGGCTGCCAATGGAACACCTCTCCTACAAGGACAGGCTGAGAGCTGGGGTTGTTCGGCCTGGAGAAGAGAAGGCTCTGGGAAGACAAGAAAGCATCCTTTCAGTATATAAAGAGGGGCTGTAAGAAAGAAGGGAACAGATTCTTAAGGAGGGTCTGTTGTGATAGAGCAAGGGGAAATGGGTTCAAACTAAATTAGATTGGATATAAGGAGGAAGTTTTTACAATAAGGGTGTGAAGCACTGGCACAGAGAGGTGCCCAGACAGGTGGTGGATGCTTTGTAGGCACTCACAGTCAGGTTTGGTGGGGCTCAGCACAGGAGAGTTAGACTCAATGGCCTTTAAAGGTCCATTCCAGATCAAATGGGTCTGTGCTATCCTGCCCTGTCACTGCACTGACAGATGTTAAGACACCACTCACAGTCAGTAGTGATGTCTTCAATGAACAGAACAAGAAACACACCAGAGCATGGATTCAGAATATCTCAAACTGCTGCACATTACAGAGATTTATTTCAGTGCTACTGGTTACCCAACGCATGTAAAAAACTTGATAAATGCGGAGCCAGCCTGAAAGAAGCAATCAAGATTAAGAGAGCTTGGCAACAATCAGGATGCAGGAAGATTGTGACTTTGTAAGTTGGTTCTTCTGTCTTTTCAAGAAGCCAGCATTTCCTAGGAATTCACTCCAGATTATTCACTGGAGAAACTCTAACATACTAAGTTGCTTCCTGCAGTGGGAACATGACTAATTGCTGAGTGGAGTTCCCTGCTGACAGCCTGAGTTTGGTTTCACCAGTTGTGCTGTGCACAACTCAGCTTCTTAGAGAAGCCACCTGGAATCCATGGTGGCTTCTCTCCATATCTCTTTTGCTGTAGAACAAGAAGCATGCAAGACTTGAAACAGAAAGCTAATCTCAGTCTTTTGAATGCCTTCTCTGGGAGATGGATCGTCTTAGGCCTTCTGAACACAGACATTATACTCTGGAAACTCAGATTTCTTTTGCAAATTGTGACCATCTTAGTTTGCCACCCTGCTAAAGAACTTGCACTAGTCTCTGGTGTGAAATCATACTGATGTTCCTTTGTCTCTGCTTCCAGAGTTTTTCCCTTATTTCCCTTATTTGATTGTTGTGTGTTAGTTGAGTTTTGGTTTTTTTTGGGGGGGAGGGGTGGTGGAGGGAGGGTTGAGTGGAAGGAGTTGCTTAAGTACTACAAAGCCCACTGCCAATTACAGTTTTAAGCACTACATTGCTAATCAGCAACAACTTTCTTCAGTAAGACAGAGGTGAGTAATAAACCTTAATAATGTTTCTGCTAATAATTAACTTGCATTTGAGCATTTGTACCCAACTTACAAGCTACTTTTAATGATTGAGTAACTTCTTATAAGCAGTCCAAGTCATTCCACTTTTCATAACACTTTTACTACCTACACATTCTGTGGAGCTGAAGGAATCTTTTCAGCCTGATTTCAGTATTTCCAGCAATCTAAGACATAGCTTACAGCAGAACTGGGCTAACACTGCTTAAACGCTGAGTGGTAAATTCATGAAGTCCTTTAAGTAGTATGAATACTTCTGTATGAAATCTGCTTTCAATATTCTAAGTCCATCTTTATTTAAAGCTTTTCTTTGTGTACTTTTAATTGTGAATTTGAAAATGACTGCAGGTGTAGCAGAGCTGTTATTTTTGTGGCTGTCCAATTTCACAAGCCACAAGAACGTCCTACAGCGACAAGGGAAAACAAAGGTGAGCATGTTTGCACCAATGCTGCTTTTATTGGAGAGAGCATCTGAGTGTGTTTATAAGGGTTTGCTTTTGCAGTTCAGTCTCATGGAAAGTCTCTTGCTTTGTATGTGTATTTCTCAGTTTTCTTCTTTTCAAGTTTCAGCTTTGTGTTCTGTATTTGTTTGAGCAGCTCCAGAGACTCGTGAATGGATTGAAATCCTGGTAGAAAAGTAACAACAATTAATT